ATCCAATGCCAGAGGCATCCAATGCCAGAGGCATCCAATGCCAGAGGCATCCAATGCCAGAGGCATCCAATGCCAGAGGCATCCAATGCCAGAGGTAGCCAAATTGGCAACCCTCGGATCGAGCAACCGGTTATCAGTGCTCCATCATGCTCATGATAATGTCGATGTGTCGTTCTGCGTTTCCAGTCGTGAATTCCTCATAACCGAGCGGATCCTCTTGTGACCTTTCGTCTCGTCCGCACTGCAAGTGCCGGAATCCGCTCATTGTCGCTTGCTCAGTATTCGGGTCTAAGGCAGTCATTGCAGACTCATCATAACCTTGGCTCCATGCTTTCGAACCACATCCTCCATCTTCCTCCTCACTTCTCTACACCCGTCCACACCTGTTGCCAGCATAGCCTCGATCTTCCCACTACCTGTCATGATTTCCACCCTTGACTCCATCATCAGCACGGAGACTTTATCTTCCGCACTCTCACCGCCAGAAACAGTTGCGATTGAGAGATATGCCAGTTCCTGCTCCTCTGCAGTGTTCAGGTCTAACAATGGTTCGGGTTTCGCTTTTGAGTCTTCGGTGGGTACGATGACGCCACAGGTCACGGCGGAGAGGATACTCGGCATTGGCACACCGGCGTCGACGAGCGCAAGGCTCGTGGCATTGAGACAAGCTACGAGGAGTCCTCCATCAAGGCTGAGCACGTGTAAGGAGATGGAAATGGTAGAGCGCGGATAGAGGTGTGTAAACAGGTGGGACTGGAATGCGGAGGAAATCGTAGATTGGAGTTCTTGAATGCGTTTGTCTGCACGAATGCGGCGACGGCGGTCCATTGTTGCGAAAGGGGCGATGTTGATTTCGGTCTCAACGAGCGCGTTTTTGTTGTCTCTCTGGCCACGACTGTGCAGGAGGAGATCGGTTGTTAGCTTCCTCTATGAACAGAGCATTCATAGTAGAGCTCATTCATACCCTTCTCTTGGACCAGTCACGGTGCACAGAACCATTGTGTTTCCCAGTGTCAACAGGCTTGAGCCGTCGCTAGCGGGTTGCGTCGAGATCGATGCGGTAATGCGCCGCAGCTCGTTCCATCTTCGGCCGTCTTGTCGGAGCAAGGTCTGGGGGTACGTTGAGAGTGTGTCCAGCGGCATGTCGACGGAATATGGGAGCAGTGAGAGAAATGCTGAGCGGACGAAGGAGCCGGCAATGGCGCCCGGAGACTGGCTAACCTGCGTACAGTACCACTGAATGTGGTGGTGGTTGTGCAAAATATACGCTGGCACGACGGGGTACGAGGAGGCTACAAGGGAAATGCGGCCGGTTGGAGCGACATTTGATTGGCGGAATCACTGTCGTCTCCGCATCTTCCTGAAAACTGGCTCGCTCGAACCATCGTGACTATGCGCAACCACGCGGAGTCAACTCTCGTGCTTTGGCTAAAGCATGCAGGGGTCCGAAACGATGTTGAATAGCATCATCTCGGGAAATCTATAGCTATCTGCATCGATAGCTAAGGACCGACGAGCGTCGGCCTTGGACGACTTGATTAGATAGTGAGCACCTTGGCCGATTAGATTCTTGTCTTCGTGGCCTGCAGAGACTCTCGCTCAAATTATCCGTCGGTCCAATAGTTTGAAGCCGTCTCATCTTCCACCGTATTCATGCTTTGCTTTCTGGCAGCTCCTCGACATGTGCGGCCTCGACAGCCTTTCGCTCACCCAATTCCTGGCCCATCGCCTCCGCAGCATAACTCTCGACATTTGCACAGACATAATGCTTGAATTTCCTGGCCGGAACCCTGGCCTCAAACATCTCGTGAATCTCCTCCAGTGTCCGATCCCGTGTTTCCGGGAGGAAGAACCACGTAAACACGACGCAAGCCATGTTGGAAACAAACCAAATGTAGCCATATTTTGGACCCCAGGCAAATTTTGCGGGATTGATGAAGTACGGAGCGCTGAAAGTTCCTCCCCAGTTGCCCAGAAAGTTCATTGCCGTTGCTAGGCCGAATGTGAAGGCTCGGAGATGGTTGTTGACGTACTCGCCTCCGAGAAGCCATGCATATGGAGCTAGAAACCTATTAGATTGTGCTTCAACCAAGCGGGAGAGGTGTAAAAATACCGTATGCCACATAAAAGAACGTGAACAAGGAGATGAATGCCACGACGACCTTTCCTGTGGCTTCAGTACCCGGACTCTTGGTCCAAGCAATTGCAGGAACAAGCTGACAGATTCCACATGCAGTGATTCCAATCAACATCACCGTACGGCGGTCGACCAGTCGCACAAAGCAGAAACTGACCAGAACGCCAAGCAAACCCATACAGGTGACCATAACTGAGTACGCAAAGGCGTTCTCAACGCCAGCAATCTGCAAGAAGTATGTGGTGTATATCGTGATCCAGCTTGATCTATCCTCGTCGTCAGGTCAGAAAGTCGAGAAATTGGGCCAGGAACGAGACATACCCATTGGCAGAGTGAAAACAGACAACAGCGATAGAGAGCAGTGTCCTCCGCAAATTTGTGCCACGCCACATCTCCAAGAACAAGGCTTTCTTGTTCTGCTCCAGCTGTTCACGAGTCGACTGTCGGATCTCATTCAGTTCCGCCTGGAACTCGAGCTCGTCGATGTTCGAGTTTCGTAGCCTTCGTAGTGACGCCTCTGCAGCCTCCTCCTTGCGTTGTGTCATCAACCATCTCGGAGACTCTGGAGCGAAGAAGTACATGAGCACAGACTGGAGCGTCGGCGCCACAAAGAAAATTGCCAAGGGGATCTGGTACGCGTCTCGGCCTTTCATGGTGTGTGTGCCAAAGTCGACGGAGGCTCCGACGATCGAACCAATAGAAAGCATGACTTGATATACGGCGAACGCAATACCGCGCAAGTGAGCTGGGGCGGCTTCGTGGACGTACAGCTGGGCGAATGTCAAGAACCAGCCGACGGATACACCTGGGACGGTCAGCACGAGATGGGTTGATACTTAGTAGCTCACGCATGAAGCATACCCAGAAGAAGTCGAGAAAAGTAGAGCGCTCCCTTGCTAGTGGTTCCCAGCTGGATGGCCGTGGCAATGTAATTGAGAAGGGCTGCTGCCCACAGCCCATGCCTCCTCCCGAACTTCATGCTGAATGGGCCGACCAAGAGCGAGGACAGGAACGTGCCGATGGTCATCAGCGACGAAATGAGCTGCTGCACTGTCGGATCGATGTTCCATCTCCCTAGGTCTTCAGAGTAGTAGCCGAAGACCTCCAAAAAGCCTGGCATGGACAGGAAACCGCCGACGAGTGCATAATCCAGACCATACTGGAACGTCGACAGCGTCGCAACCACACAGAGGACGAGGCATTTGGCGTGGCTTCGCACATCGAGTTTGAGAGGGTTTGCAGAGATGGGAGCACCGCCAACCATTGTCGCTAATTCAAAGTGTCGGTGCCTGGGGAAAGGGATCTGACCACAACAATGCCGGAAAACCTGTGCCAAGGGCGAACGCCAGCGCTCATATACCGTAGTACTTCACGGTTGACCATGCCTGGTTCCGAAAGCCCTCTGCCGGGAATTGCAATCTTGGTGTTGGAGATATTAGGTAGTGCAATGGCAGGATATGGAGTCGAGCCGTATGGAGGAGCATGGGGAAGCATCGCGGAGAAGATCCATCACCGGTCCTCGACCACTCACATATTTCGACACTCCTGCTTATACCCAGCCGCACGGGGTTTGACCGGGCTAGCTTCTTGGTATACCTCTGTTGGCTCGACACTCCAGGTTAAACAATAGGACGATCCCGCAACTGCCGAAATGTGTGGACGTGTGGTGGTTGGACTGATTCTGATCCCACATCTATCACCACTATGAAGTCTCCAGCGACACCCTTTTTGGTGCAACAGTGGTAGCATTGAATGCCGAGTACTCTGCGCTCCCTGCGTTGTCGCTTGTCCGAAACAGGCTCTCCACAAGCTTGGAGCAAGCTTCTCCACAAATCTTGGACCCAAATAAGCAGCGAGCGTCCTTGGGGGCTCGGACCCGAATGATGTTGGTGGCTTGTCAGTAGTGAGCTCGTCTTTGTCAGTGTAAGCGGAGAGGACGAAGAGCACACGTGGCACGCCGAGACATTCCTTGGGCGGATGTTTGGTTTGGTTGAGAGGCTCAAGTCCGCGTTGAGCTCGACTTACACAGCACAAAATTACTGAGCGCGTATGATATTCCACTCTACTTATCCAATAACCAAGACGAAGGGATAATATGAGCTCAAATCTGACTTGTCACTCTGACAGGATCATCACGCTAATGCTGCAGGTAGCCATGTCCCATCTGCATCCGTCAAATCAATGCTTCCAGCAGGTCACACCCTCAAAACTGCCGTCTTCGAGGGCCCTGTTTGCGTACTGCAGACGACACTCATCTCCTACCTACTGTAGGTACAATGTAACAACGCGGTTCACCCATCCAGACTACTGTGAACGAATTGAGGCTGGGCACTTGTCCAGAAAGAAATACTGCAAGCGAAGCTTGATTGCACAGCAGCAACTTTCAACGACTTTGATTTTGATATACGCCATGTCTATTTAGAGACATACCCGCGGGGCAAGCTATGCTGCAACTCGCATACTCCCATTCCTAGGTATAAACAGAGATGGGTCCCATGACTGCGCCACATCTCTTCACATCGCCTATGCCTTGCGAAGTCGCGGGGGCGCGAGCTGCGGTCGAGGCTACACACTGTCTCACCAATTCCATCTTGTGATCAGCGATACACAGGAGGTGCTTGGTTATCGACATAGCTGTGTAGAGGAATGCCGCCTTGGCCGTACAATGGTAGTGGCGCTTCACCAGTGTATGAGGGTGCTGCAGCATGACCCTCCCGAAAATTAGCCGCCGCCGGTGTGTTCAGCGGCGCTTTTCGTGCTCGCTGACGACGTTTCAAGAACAGGACAGTGCCCACGAAGATGAGCATCAAGAACATGGCGACGATGAAAACGATCATGGCAATGTTGCTGCCGGCAAAACGGAAACCAGATATGCAGTTGATCAAACCCAATCCCATGGTGAGAGGGCCAAGGACTCGATGTCCCTTCATGATTTTGGCAGGTCGCTGCGTTTTCTTGTAGATGAGATGTCCTGTGAAGCCGACAGTCCAGGTCACAAGAGCGAAACCAACGACGGCAAATCCGATAATTTGATGAGGTGCCGTGAGATTCGGCGACTGGAAACATCAGCTTCGTGCGCAAACCAGCCCCGGGAGACGTCACTTACAATGCTGTCCTTTTTGCTAATGGCAATTCCCACACCCATGCCAAGGATTGTCATGAGCAAAGCGAGTGACTGAATACCCCAGTGAAGCCATACCTTCTCGAAGACGCGCAACATCAAGAGTCCTCCGGGGAAAACGATCAAGAAAGCACCGACCATGAGGAAGGCATGGAATCCGGTGGCACCACGGAAGCGGCCATGCCCGTCGAGGGGAGGACCATCGCCGATGATTGTCGAAGACGAGTTCACCACGGGAACACCACCAGCACCAGTGGCTGCCTTCAGGTTGATGTTGAAGAAATCATAACCTTCATGCTTGGAAATTTGAGCATTGAGATCGTCTGAGTTCAACGTGCCTGATGAACCAGCAGCCCAAATCATGGCTTGGCTGGTGCTATCAATGTTAATCTTTCCACCATTCCAGCTGCGGCACTTGTTGCATTTGGCATTGACGACGAAGGTGCCGTCGATAATACCGCTGCCGCTGAGGACATCGACCTGAACGTCACTGGTGTGTTTGGGCATGACATGACCGGTACCAATGCGAGGGCTGACCGTCACGTTGTTTCCATCCTTGGAAGCGTATGTGACAAAAATCAGGGTACCAGCCATTTGCCCTCCTAAGCCAAAGGCTGCCCATGTTTGATCCGCGGGTGCTAAGAAGTGGAAGTAGAGAGAATCCGAGTTGTCGTTCGGCACATTGATTGAGACGGTGACATTATCGTTTGGATCTGGTGACGTGCCTCGACCAACATATGTCGAAGCCGGAACAGCAGCCTGCGCGGAGAGGAAGAATGCTATCTAGGGTCAGCGACTAATTTTCACCGAGCAGACCCGTCGAGGGCTGCAGAACTTACTGGTTGTCAGAAACAGGCCGACCAGTATCCTGATCTTGTATAGGGATTGTACCGACATGGTGCGGACTGTGCTCTTCTTACTGTACGTATATACCGTACCGAGAGGAAAAGTGCACCCAACGCGCCGAAGGACGGACAGGAAGACTAAGCAGTCAGGGAAGAAGAGCGGATATCCCAACGCAGGGAAAGGAGGGAGGTGAGGAAAGGAAAGGAAAGGAAAGAAAGGATGGAGAGACTCGAGGTCGGCACCAAGCGTGGTATTGGAATTATCACGACATTCAACAATGACCGGCCAGGCGAAGGCGCATGTCTGGAGCAGAGGCGGGTTTCAGATGTTATCTGAAGCTGAAAAGAGAAGCCCGTCTCCTGGGTAAACACCTTGTACGTTTTAGGGAGAGGTCCCCTGCAGAAGGGGTCAATAATGAGGACAAACAACCATCCGATTGGCTCGTTGGCAGGGGTTCTGGCGCACCCTTTGATGGTGCCTGGGGCTCGGTCGCGCCAGCATGTCCACTTGATCCACATAATCAGGCTCTTGACGGGCTCCGAAAGCTTAGCTGAGGGGACTTCGATGCCCAGCACTGGAGAAATTGACAGAGTTGACCAATGGCCTTTCAAGGATTATCCAACATGGCGCTTACTTCTTTTCAAGCCACAACACATCGAGCACACATAGAACCCAAAATAGATCTCGGCTTACTGCCAAACCGTGCCTCATTTGCACGCACGCGTCCACCGATGGCCCTCTATCCGTCTTACCTGCAGGATGGATCTCAGTCGAACAAGGTGACGGTCGAGAAGACAGATGGATTTCATTCCTGTACCGATGTGGGTATAATTGTACATGATTTCGTGAAATCGTCAAAACCATTCCTCCTGAACATTTGCGAAGTATCGCTGGAAGGCGTCCCCACGAACGGTGAAGTCTCCCACAGACGGCGACCAGCCAAAGCTGAAGATCGAAGACTCGTTAATGCTGAAGGGCACGTGTTCTGAAGTCCAATTGACCCCGAGACCGCTGGACGTGTCCTGTGACATGTTGTTGGAACCGTCGGTTATCGCGTTGCCACTGACAGCACGAAGTGACTCTTGCGCTCGCGGATCCAGGGCCATGCCACCGCCCTGAGGTTGAGTGCCGCCCATGCCAAAACCCCCCCTTGCATTGGTGCCCGGGTTGCGCGGATAGTCCTCCATGAAGCGCTCCATGGGAGTTGGATTGTGTAGATCCGTGAATGGCGCGTCCAGACTCTGCTGCAACTGTGTTCCCTGGCCCTGTTGCGCGGCCCTCCGTGCCTTGGCCTTTGCCATGAGGTGTCGCAACGGTTTCCACAACATTCCTTTTTGGTACTTGGAATTCATCATTCGCTCATCATAAACTGATTCAATAGCTTTCCATGCCCGATCAACGTCTGGACCAGGCGGTCTCGTGCATATTTCGGACAATGCGAACGCCACTGACTGCCATTGCATGTAAGTCCGGAACAACCAGCCCCATTTTGCCGTGTTCTCGTTCTTCTCCAGTAGGTGTGAGAACTCAATCACCTCGACCGAGGTAATAAACACTCGATCACGGATCTCCGGGGGCAGTGATGGCTCTCCATCGGAGACGGAGTACGCACGCGGGTGATGAACGATCAGCCACATCTTCGCCAGGATGAGTCTTGCTACCGTCGCTGCAACCCAGTATATGGGCATGTTCATGTCGCAATGCTGAAGGTACTTCTCTTCAAGCCTGCGATGACATTCATCAATCAGCCGTTCCTTCTCTTCCAAGGACAAGTCTTGGTCGTGGAAAGGGCTGCGGCCCCCTGGGGCGGTAAAGTTGAACCGCCGGGAAAAGACACTAATTTCGTAGCGGATCAGGCAGAATGTCATTTCAGTGGCCCCGACCCTATCCTTGGGGTACTCTTTCATACCGGGGTATATATCATCATCATTGACATTCAAGGGGATCTTCGTGTCATAGAACTGCTCCGTAAAAGTGGGGTCGACACCATGATCTTCTGCTGATCGATTATCCAGGAGTGATATTTGCCACCAGAGTCTGCGTCGCATCTCGGTATCGAAGGGGTTGAGTCCGAAATTGGTCCCGTCGCGATGAATTCCCAACGCCTGTGCCAGATGGATGGCGAGACCGCCCAGGGCCCATACTAATCTGGAATCGTCACAATGCCTGACGAAAATTAAGAAAAAAGCCAATGCCTGCAAACACATCAGACTCGAGCTGTTCAGGAAGTCCGCGCGAGCCAAAGCTTGCTCAGTTGCAAACCTGTACTTCTTCAGGAGCGATTGTTTGTCTTCGACCAGCAGCTGCTGGCACTGCTCCGGCGTTAAACTGACCACGGCACCAAAATATATGGAGAAGAGCAGAGCTTCTGCTGGTCTCGAGACTCGGTCAAGGCTGCTCGCCGCATTTATCAGGATTGTTTTGGCAGTCGGGCGATGTAGAATTCGGACGATCGGGTCGACATTCTCCTTGAAAACTTCCCACAAAATAAAGATCTGGCTGGGACTGGGATGTAGCTCCCTCAAATCATGCATGGTCGAGGCATAGCCAAAAAGGAACGCTGGATGGTTCGCTTGCCGGTCAGTCTCTGGCGAATGGAGGGTGTCCTCCTCGTCAGAAGTTAAAGGGTCTAGCAGATCTCGCATTTCCGCAATCTGGGCAGCCGTTAGCAAGCGCATAGCACCGATTGGCGCAGATATACCTCGTCACTCATGCCCGTCCAGAATGCGTTGCTCACATAGCGACTGCGATCCTCGCTGATGACCAGCCGCCCCAAGTTCTTGTCGATCGACTGTCTCTTGGAATCCGAACGGTCAGATGACGGAGAGTCGCCTGCGTGTGCGTCTCCGAACCGCGCTCTAATGTCTGCAGACCCAGTAAGGGTGGGTGAGATAACTCCATTCTCATCTACCTGGGCACCCAGGCTATGGACAACGCCTTCGAGCCTGCGTAAGCGAGCCAACAACTCTGCATCAGGCGGCTTCTTGGACTTCCTCGGCGCTCTGCCAGGCCCCGGGAACACACAATCGATCCCAGCTCTTACGCAGTTTGCGCATGGATTTTCTTTATTGCACCTCACCTTCCTACGACGACATGTGACACAACTTCGCGGGTTCGGGCGAGGCGCGGGAGGATTGGTGGCTGTCCCGTTCTGTATCTCCAATGGGGCACTGGCGGACTGGTCCTCGCTCTCACTCTTGCTTGGCTCGTGGTTTGTTTGTGCGCGTTCTTTAACGGGTTGCGACATCTTGGCTACCTCGGTGGCTGCGTTTTAACTGGAAGTCATCTCGACGTCGAAAGGCTGTCGTGGGACTGGAGTAGATACCGTGCTGTGGTGTGAGCCAGTTGAAGGCCATGTAGGTTAGGGTGGTTAATCCTGAAGACGTGTTGGAGGAAGAGTTATAGCCATGCACAACAGGAGATGCATGTTGTGTCATCAACCTGGATCGCTGCAGGCACAGAGCAGGTTGCAGATTGTGCGGCGGAGACCCGTCGACTTCGTACAAACTCCGCACTCTCACCTTGATGAAGAGGGCAGTAAAGCACGGGCTCTTCAGATTGAGGAGAGAATATTACTTCAACCGGAATTCGGAACTAATCTACCTCCGGAAGTGAAAGGCACTTGACAAAGCACTGTGTCGATCCTCTTGTCTTGTCGGTTGCAGTCTCCAGAACTCGTGAGAGGTCACTGTCTCTGGCAAAACCTGATTGGAAGTGTCATTGACCCGGTCGTACCGTGCCGGCTCACATGCCCCAGAAAATCATGCTAAGCTCGTTCCCTGCAGTTCAAGAAGACATATATGAGCGATTTATCAACCTCGCTCCGGCTTTATCAGAACTTCTCAGCCTGGTCGAGAACCCGAGCTCGCATGCACAAGGCCTGAGCCATATCGTCCTGCAGTACATGCACTTCCCCTTTAGCATCCCTGCTTGCCGCGCGGGAGCCGTGGCTGCGCGGAGGAAACCCACGCCATAAAAACTCCTCCGAGCTGGATGCGTAAAAGACATGGAAAGAGCCAAGAGAATCTCTCAGGGCAAACGTCCGTGAAATCGAGACCGAATTACACCTCGCTCCAACAAATTGAAACCCCAGAAGCATGCTTTCGTCATCGCTGGTGCATCGAGAAAGAATGAGTCATAGTCCGACAAGAAAATTGCTCATGAACTGTGAGATCTTAAGAGAACCTGATCATCCCGATTAGCGCCTGCCTCTGTCTTCATCCCGACCATGACATCGAACGTACACTGCTATTAACCACCGACATCGGATCGGGTTCACCGTCTCTGTCCACCGACGGACTCTCAGCGCTCCCGTGGATCACAGATCCCGACGTCGTGATAGACCTCTCACTAAAAGGAGGCCTCAAGCCCGAGCTTGAATCCTTTGAAGCCCGGGCGATTTTGATTGATAGTGCCGACGGTCTATCCTCTGCGGCACCACTGTTCCCGTCCCCGATTCCATTGGCCTTCGAGCGAGCTTGCTCGTGGAAAATATCGGTCACGCGGTCAGACGCTACCCGCAGAATCGTTTGCATAAGCAAGTTCTGCTTGAGGGGCTTCGAGAGGTACTCATCCATCTGTGCTTGTATGCATTTCTCGCGGTCGCCCAGCATGGCATGCGCCGTAAGCGCGACAATAGGTGTCCTAGGAAGTGCTTGCTCCTTCTCGTACTGCCGTATCTCGCGGGTGGCTTCGAATCCACCCATGACCGGCATCTGGACGTCCATGAGGACAATGTCGAAGCGGGTGTTCTTGATCGCGTTGACGGCTTCCAAACCGTTCCCGACCACGGTAACAACATGGTTGTACTTCTCCAATATCTTGATGGCGACCTTTTGGTTGACCTCATTGTCTTCAGCCAGCAGAACATTTAGCGACTTCTTGTAGTCTTTGATGACAGGAGTCGAGCGCCCTTCTAATGCCGGTATCAGACAGTTGCCGAGGTCGATCAACTGACATGGTGTCGTCATGTAAGAAGCTATGCCAAGGTCAAGTACAGTTTTGAGGCTGATAGAGACGGTCGGGTTCAGAAGAACCATTGGAATATACTTGAACTTGTCAAGTTCCCGTAGCCTCTGCGCAGTTTCAAGCTCATCAATGACGATAACATCATAACCCCCGTCGGTGTTCCTACCCTTGCGGTCGACAACATCGATGGGATCAGGGACTTCAGTCTCGCTTCTCACGACCTGAACATGAAGTCCAAGCTCTTCAATCATGGCGGGAACGCGGTCGAAGAAATTGGACACCCCCTTGTCGACCACCAGGACTTTATGCTTTCGGAAAGGATATAGTTGTGAGCTGATGACACTGATGTCGTCTGTCGCGTACTTGACGATGCAGGAGAAGTGGAATTCGCTGCCGTGGCCGAAATCGGAAGTCACCCAGACTTGACCTCCCATGAGGTTGACCAGACGCTTTGAAATGGACAGCCCAAGACCGGTACCACCAAACTTTCTTGTTGTGGAACCATCGGCTTGCTGGAAAGTGTCAAAGATAAGGTCCAGCTTGTCGGATTGGATACCAATGCCTGTGTCTGAAACGACAAACTCGAATGGAAACTCGTCAGTGGCACAGTTGGAGATGAGATCTCTGGATTTTTTGATTGTGACCTTGACCTCCCCTTGATCGGTGAACTTGATGGCATTGCCTACCAAGTTGAGGATGATTTGCCGCAGCCGGAAGGGGTCGCCAACGACGTAGTCCGGAACAGAGTTGTCCACATCAAAGGCCAGACACAAGCTCTTCTCGTTGGCCTTGACAGCTAGGGACTTCAGGGCGTTGAAAACAGTCCCGCGAACCGTGTACGGTATAGCTTCGATGGCCATGCGATTGGCTTCAATTTTGGAGATATCCAGAATGTCGTCAATGATGGTTAGGAGACTGTTGGCAAGGTTGTGGACAGTGTTGAGCATCTCTCGGGAGTGCGGCTTCAAGTCGTCCGTGTCAAGTGTAAGCTGTGTCATGCCGATGATGCCGTTCATAGGGGTTCTGATTTCGTGGGACATGTTTGCCAGAAACTCGGATTTCGTTTGATTCGCGAGTTCGGCAGCTTCACGGGCAGCTGTGTTTCTTTGAATGCTGTCTCTCAGATTCGAGATCATCTGATTGATTTTTCGCTTCAGCTCGTCCATCTCGCCAGACGCATTGACACTGATGAGCTTCGAAAAGTCGCCTTCGGTTGCCGCGTCTGTGATTTCTCCGAAAGCACGAACCTGAGCAGTCAGGTTTTCAGCCATAGTGTTGACGTCCTCTGTGATTTCCTTCCATCGCCCACTGACATCATGAACATTGGCCTGACCACCCATCTTGCCATTGACACCCACGTCTCGTGCAACCCGTCTTAGTTCGTGTGCAAACGTGGCTAATCGGTCTACCATGTTGTTGATGGTGACCTTTAGGGTCAGAATCTCTCCATGAGCTGGCACCTCGATCTTCTTGTCCAGATTTCCTGCGGCAATTGCTTGTGTCACGTCTGAGATACTTCGGACCTGATTCGTCAAATTTGAAGCCATCGTGTTCACGTTGTCTGTCAGATCTCGCCATTTGCCTTGGACGTTGTCGACCTTTGCCTGCCCACCAAGCGTGCCGTCTGTGCCCACTTCTCTCGCCACTTTGCTGACCTCAAACGCGAAGGTGTTCAGTCTGTCAACCATAGCGTTGATTGTGATTTTGAGGTCGAGAATCTCACCCTGTACATTAGCTGTGACTTTCTTGGACAAGTCACCATTGGCAACCGCAGTGGTGACTGTAGCGATCTCTCGCACTTGCGTCGTCAAATTCATGGCCATGCCATTGACGTTCTCGGTCAGATCTTTCCATGTGCCCTCAACATCATGGACTGTCGCTTGTCCTCCCAGGACACCGTTGGTACCGACTTCTTTTGCCAAGATCGTAACCTCCTGAGCGAATTGTTGTAACTGGTCAACCATGTTGTTGATCGTGATCTTGAGTTGTAGGATCTCGCCTTTACAGCTCGCGGTGACCTTCTGAGTCAAGTCGCCTTTTGCGACCGCCGTGGTGACACCTGCGATATCGCGCACTTGAGTAGTAAGATTGTCGGCCATGGCATTGACTGACTTGGTCAACTCGTTCCAGGTGCCCTGAACTCCTTCGATCTGGGCTTGTCCACCTAGAACGCCCTCGGTTCCGACATCGGTGGCCACCCTGGTGACTTCAGTGGCGAATGTCCTCAGTTGGTCCACCATGGTGTTGATAGTATGCTGCAATTCGAATATTTCGCCCTTTGCGCGGCTCTGAACCTTTTGGCTGAGATCACCACGCGCAACAGCCTTGGTGACAGTCGCAATCTCTCGGACTTGATCAGTCAGGTTTGCTGCCATTATATTCACTGCAACATGTCAGTACAAGCCATCGAAAAGCACGAATCGAGGGTAATACCGTTATCTGTCAGCTCTTTCCAGATGCCGTGAACGCCACTGATTTGGGCTTGACCACCCAATATACCTTCCGTACCGACCTCACGAGCGACACGCGTCACTTCGCTCCCGAAGATTTCAAGCTGGTCCATCATAGTGTTGATTGTTACCTTGAAAGCTGCGATTTCGTCGTCCATCTCAGTTGCCTGAATCTGCACGCGTTTGGACAGGTCGCCATTGGCTACCTGAGTGATGATACCACCAATCTCACGCAGTGCCTTTTGGAAAGCTTCGTTGGCTTGCTGATGTTTCCGTAATTCTCTTTCCAGGATTGAGACGTCTTCGTTCTCAACGCGCATGAATGCTTGTTTAGCCTGTTCTTCGGAATTGCGCAAGCCTCGACTGATCTCTGCGATTGTGTCTCGTTGGCTCTTTATCTGCTCGGCTTGCCTTTCCACATGCTCCCGTAGGATGCTGATATCATCCTCGCTGACCGTACGGTCGGATGTCGAAGGGGGTAGGGACTCTCTCGCGGCGAGCAGGTTGCTGACGCGTCTCGACTGGGTGCCATTTGAGGCGGCTCTCTCGGTAGAGTCTGCGGAGAGATCAGTGCCCGTATCTCCCAAAGAACCTCGAGGTTCGGCCGGGCGCCCAAGAGGTGAAGTAGGACTCTGAAATTCACCTGGTGTGTCTGGAAGTGAGCGCCCGACAACATCTGCCCTCGATTCGAGATAATGAATACGCCTCGCGAGAGCCGCTATTTCAGCTTCGAAGTCCTCTTTGCTGGCCGTGTCATCGCCAGGGAGTTTGTAAGGCGGCAGCTTCAAGCCATTGGTGTAGGCAGAGGCAGTCGAGCCTCTAGCGAATCCGCGCAGAATTGCCGCAGCGGCCGCTAGAGTATCGTCCGGGCGAGCCATGGACGGCGCGGAAACTTCTATAGATTGTCCCTCCTCATGAGTAGCTGGCGACACGTAATGGTGGCAAGCCTTTTCAGAGTGCCAGATGGCCCTGATCTTGGGCTGCGTCCAGCAGCGCAGACAAAATGGCCGGAGAGCCACTTTGCTCGTTGATGGGAAGAGTCGTTCGATGGTCGAGAGAGACTGCGGGCACTGGCGGTCAGGTGGAAACGTAGGTTGAGTTGTATGGTAGGATGGGATAACTTGATCAATTTCCGAGGGAAAACGCTGGGCTATTGGCCGACGTGATACGCGGACAACTGTGCCCAAAAACGCTAGGTGACAAGCGGATACACAGGCAGGGTCTGGGCAGGGCAGGATAGATTCTCGGGCTGCTCTATTGTCACTCTGATAGCACTTCTTGACGTGCGCTTCGCGGAGATCTCGGGCAGAGGCGACACAGGAACAAAACCCTAGATGAATAGGAGCGCTAACAAGGAAAGAGCAATCTCAACAACGGGGATGCTTCGTGTTGGTAAGAAAGGGATGATAATAATACTGTATACGGAGTAGAAAGGTATCAAAGGGACCGCGGTCTCCTGAGGGCGAGATCTCGTTGAAAGTGCCTAAATGGTCTCAACGGCCACACCAAGGATACCGAGGGACCAACAGAGGGAGGCTTCCACGAGCCACAAGCATCGCAGTGGCAGCCCCCGATGTTCTGGCTGGGGCAAGGATGGAGCCCGGCTAGACAATTGGCTCGTTAAAGCACTGACGAGGCACCCACTTGAGGGGTTGTCACCACAGAAGACCAACATTTTGCCCCCAGAGGAGTAGCGAGTTGATAGCGGTCCAAGTCCATGCCGACAAAAGATGCCTTGCTATCCGGCCTCAAGATGATTGTTGCCTCCCGCCAGCGTGGCGACAATGTTCGCAACGTACAAGCACATTGATATGTGGCATCAATGAGCAGATCCTCCTGAAAGATAAATACCCAGTCTGCACTTTGGCTGCATAGTCCTACCTCGTAAGTGCAAGCCCAAACAGTGTGGCTATTTGCTTCAACATCGACGATCACAATTTTTTTATCAGGTGCTTAGGTCGCTTTGTGGGATACCGCCTATTGGAGATCTGCGTGTGCCGGCGCCTCATTCCCAGTGCACGAACGCTTTTCTACTGAACCGCATGCCAGATATCAAAGCTCATGAAGGCCGTGTAACATTAACATGGGTTCGGGAAGCATCAGGTACGTAGGAATACTGCTGGATGCTCATCTAGAACATGGAGTATGTGAGGGTACTTTACGGTAGACAGGGATTGGGGGCCAGACCTCGTTAGGGGGAAGTGTGGGTCATTGGAGCTTCGATCATCACCGCCGTCCGTGTTGACAGAAAATCCAGCATCTGATGCATGTATCTGCCGGGCTGGATCAAAACCACAGACACATCACCATCTTCTCACGGCAGTCGAGCGCAACCTCCTGATCAAGAACCCACCGGAGTAGACGGCATAATAGACAGCGATGACGCGACATGTTGTGACTAGGATGCTACTGCTGAGCAGGAGATTGAACGTGATCTTTTGGAGTATTCTCGCAGGGTTCATTGTACGAGAACGAGGGCGTAGACTGGAAACTTCGTGAAGCTGTAATGGTCCGTGCAAGAAAGTCGATGTCTCTCATGTCGTGAAGCCCCGCGTCAGCCCTTCAGAGGATTGAGACGACAGGGTGTTGCGCTGCAGCTTCTCAGAATGCATCTGGCACCCTGCACTCCGGACTGCGACCTGCCCTGCAGTAGAGCCGCTACTCGTACCCATGCATATACTGAAACTTAGATCGCCATCGTTAGCTGTAGTGGCTGTCGCCAGGCGCAGGTGCAAATCGTTTCAGACAGTGCACTACTCCACTTTTAACCTCCCAGAGAGGGGAAAGGCGTCGTACTATGATGCAATTCCTCGCTAATTTATAGTTTGAGCTGGGATGCAATACAACGTACCGGTGGACTGTGTGAAAGGATACGAATCTGGTTACCAAGTGCGTGGGATCCTGCACTCAAGATGTCTTCCAGCATGGGTGCATGGGACGGCACCGAAGAGGTAGCAAGGCAAGTCAGACACCTCGAAACATTCAAGGTTGCCTTTGGGATTATTATTAGACTGATCCTTAGAACCACTCCGTCGTACTGTATCACCTTACGATTTTTGGACAGATTCCTCCGCAGTTTTGTCATACATCGTCGAAGATCTTCGTGGCTGGATCACTGCTTCCTAAGCCTTCGGTGCAACACCAACCCGTTCATCAAAGACTGAATCCCTCTAAAGCTTCCAGAAACCCGGCTATCGCTCCAGCTCCAAGTAAACCTTTGGTGGCACTTTCTTTGAAGTTTTGTCTGCTCGATTTCTCCTTCGAATGTCGTTTTTCGTCGTGAGCGCGTGTTGGCATGCTCTGCTGCGATAACCGCGACGGTGATCTTGCGGCCTTACCATCCTGTGAGCCTGGTCGAGGTGGTAAGCCCATTCGTGTAGTCGGCTGAGTCATATACCGTGAGCTCGGAGAGGACGAAGAGTAGGGAGATAGCTGTAGTGGCTGCTGGGGCTGTACAGGCCCAATATGACGGGGAAATGCGACTGTCGGAGAATGACCGTATACGTTTGGACCGTTGAATGTCGGAGCCGGTAGTAAAGGTGAGGAAATGCTGTGATGTGCCGTATTCTGGTCCGGTGATGCCCAAGGGCGGTGTCCGGGTGGATGATATGCTGGAGAGGACAGTCTTGATGCAGTGGACTGACCTGATGTAACGGAAGGCTGAGCAGACGGGGGCCGGTTACTGGAGCCACCATTGTTTCCTGCCACCCACGCTACTGGTTGAATTGATGGCATTGTCGGGTGTTGCGCTGCGGCAGCACTGCCATCGGATGCTTGTACCTTTCGCTCCACCGTGCGGCTGCCACTACTCCGTCGCCGCGGCTTCGGCTGAGCAAGCTCATGCTCAGAGGCAGATGACTCGGATCCGGAGTCAATGACATGTCGTCTTGAAGATCTTTTTTTCGAGCTAGTGCTGCCTCCTGGGGAGTCTTCCACATCGCTGCTGGCAGCGCTTACACTTGGCTGGTACCCAGAATATTGCTTTCGCCGCTTGAATGCCTCATGCCGTGCAGAAGCAGAGTTGGGCTTTCTCCAATCGGTGGTGGTTCCCTCAAGATAATACCCACGAGCCCCGTCTTCCCTTCCTCCCAATCGGTCATAGAATGCCAAGTCATCTTCATCTTCGGTGAGGTTATCGACTGAAGGCACATACCTCCCACCTGAGTGGTGGTTGTGCTTTCTTTCCCGGACCTCCCGCCAGATGGTCCACCTTTCCAGTAGCGGATCAATTGCTTGGTTCGAGACTTGAACCATATCCCGCGGAGAGTGTTTAATCTGATGCAGAGTGTGGTCCAGTTCGCCCAAAGAAAACACCGGGAGCCTGACCAAGGCATTCGAAAGGGCATGATCGAAGGCAGAGCCATTCGCCTGCTGGGGTGACGGCATCTCCTCCAAGTTCAGACTAATGAGACTCGTGCGCCTATCCTCCTCTTCCTCCCTCTGTGAAGCCTCGAACAAATCGTCCATGTTGCTCATCTGCCAATATCGAACAATGACTGCATTCTGGGCCACAGCACGTTCCTGATTGATGGCTTCTTTCTTGACGGCGACTACTTCTTCCGGGTCGCTACATGCACTGTCAGCGCTCGTCTGGGGGTTGAACTGGGGCTGTCTCGAACCTTCGGGATGTAGACGCCATCAGTCTTCCCAACTGGAGTATCTGCAGCATCACCGAAAGACTTAATTGCAGACTCTCGATCTGTGCAAGCAGATATGTGACGCGATGTTTCTTAAATGTGCGTTTGAACCTTTGTTGGACTGGGGAAGAACTTGCATCGTCCGCACGTTGCGCTGTGCGCACCCGCTCCAACATCTCATTGATTTCGTCGAATGCTCTTGTGCCCTCATCCGCTATGGACTGAGCTGTCTCGATTGCTTCTTGAGAATGGACCGAGTCCGCGGCTTGCAGAACTTGGCTGGTGTGTTTTAGCATCATCGAGAACAAGGTAACGCCCTTGGAGATGGCTTGGACTTCGAGTCCTGCATTTGCGACGTCGGAGCTTACGGCGTTGAGAAGTAGGGAGAGTTTGAAGCCATCTGCGGCAACGCGGTCGACAGGGGCGACGCTGCCTGCGCGGTCATCTCAGTATTCGCCTGCTCATGTTGACGGCCTCCATGACGTACCTGGCTCAGCCATCTTAGGTGTGAATTGAAAGGAAGACTCAAACAGGAGAGGCCCAACACTTTTGGGAGGGTCAAGCTCCACCATGAAGGAGCGAAAGATCGGTTGATGAAGAAGGTCGTAGCATCAAGATATCGTGGTATGGGGAGAGCAGTTGACACTTCAGCACAGTAGAATACGAGGCTGCGAGCTGAAAAGGAAGACATGCATAGCGGGGAGACAGAGCCACGACGGGCCTAAAGTCGAAAAATCGCGATGGCGCCACAAATCGATGTGTCGTTGATCCGCAAACCTCAGCTGAGTACTCCGTACATGCGGACCTAATTGTTGGGGAATGGATGGCTCCGATGGGATGGGCTGCGCCGCGGTCAACTGATTGTAGGCTGAAAAGTCTGGTGTCATCATATCGTTGGTTGACACGTCTTCCAAAGCGAAGTCCCAAATGCCAAAGGTCGGCTTAGGCTCATTACGACCGAGGTGACTACAGGTACTGGTGTGCCCACAAGGCCAGACCCTTCGATGGTGTAATTAACAAGCGCAGTACGCAAGGAGCTGGAAAGATACTCCTTTCAAACGAGACATCGAGGGTTTAAAATGCTCGATTCTTGATATCGCCCTCGACTTGCACGGCGAAGCCTAAGCCTAGAGCCTTCCCACTAAATTGAGATTTAGGCTTTCTGTAGCGGGCCTCGCCGCACAGAGCCGCGTGCAACTGTAATTATTTCGGCTTGGCTTCTGGGGAAAGCGATGTACACCGTGCAACATGTATCAAAATCCCTCGTAGAGAAACAGGAGAGAAGAATGCAGTAGTGCTGATATAACTTGCATGACCGATAAAAAATCATTGAGTGATAGCCTTTGACCTACCCTTGGTCTCCGTTGCAGGAGAGAGGTATCTGCGACCGCTGAAGATCAAGTTGCTTTCGAAAAGTGCCACCTTTGCTGGTTCTTCATCGCTATTGAAAATGCTTTGTCTCAAAAGCGCTGGAAGCCTGAGCAAAGAGCACTTCGATCATGATTAGAGTTGTAAACGGTGGAGCTTCGGAGGGCCCATTGAAAGACGCAGCCAGGGACCATTTCCGTCGTTCCAAGTTCAGCCTCTTCATCTCCAAGTGCCAACAGCGAATTAGGAGAGTACCTGATTTACAGAACCTGCAGTTACCTCCCGTGCCTCCGCTTGGAATGTGAAAATGTGCTTCCTGCCATTGAAGGTCATGCTTCTCACTCGTACGAGGTACATACTTACGCGTTGACTGCTCGCATTTCCTGTGATGGCGTGACGCCGCGAGTCGTGTATCTTTTACTCCGTACCTCGGCCGGCACATGGAATGCTACCCGGTCAAGTAAGTCAGCGGACACTCGACAGCCCCTTTGAACCTGCGTTTTCTCGCTTAACAGCCTCTCGAGGGACTGTGGCGTTGCCTGTCATGGAATTTCGGAGTCGCTTCCTGCATGAACACGGGCGACCTAACCATCCCACTAACTAAACTACTCGTGGTTCGCAGACTAATTTTGCCGGGGCTCGGCAGCACCATCACCAACCGGGCGTCCGCACCTGTTGATCGGATCGATCTCTTTACCTTTTGCCATCTGCCTTCCACCCTTGCGAGGTACAGATACATCAGGGTCTGTGGCTGTCCGGACCAGTGTTTTGATTCTAGACAATGATCACCTAAGGTTATGCTGCGCCTGGCTTTTGTCTCTCTACCTGTAGACAATACCATTTTCACCCTGCGGTCCGAATAGTCGGTCTCGAACGCGAGCAACCCCATCATCAAGTCCCCTCCCTCTGCCGTCCCGTTAGCCACCACCGAAGCCAACGCGACTTCATCGTCCGCCTCACACGAGCTTCGATTCTGCAGAATACCTGCTGTCTGCCGAAGGGTACAGGTCTTCTCGGACAACGTCCTCCCCTTCGCCTCAGCTCCGTCTCGACCGCCGAGCGCAACGTACTTGTTCCCTAAGGCCATCTTTTCTCCTCACCGCGGCTGGCATGCGGCGTTCATGATGACTCGACCGCGGAGCTGACCAACGACCGAAGTCATCCCTGGTTTCTGAGAGGAGATGCAAAAAGCAGCACGGGTGGTCATACCTCCGCCATGCGGATCTCGATACGGGAGCAGCTTGGGCTGCTTGTCCTCTTTTGTTCGCTTATGTCTCTTATGGTGTTGGCCCTGGCTGTCTGGTTTCAAAATTACAGCTTCATCACGAACATTAGACTGTCCGGCTTATCTCTGGCGGCGTCTCTGAAATCGGCACAAATCTCGAGTGCCTTGCTATTACTCGATTCGCAGTCGAGACTAATCAGCACGCGACTTTTGATACAAAGTGCATTGGGAAGATACAACTCTGGGAACACAAGCAATGAGAACTGGTCGCGGTCTGTCAGTGACTTTCAGGGCGCCCTTGCCAACGGCAGCACCCTTGTTCAGGCCATTCTGTACCCCAACGCATTTGATGGCAACCAGACTGCAGTTGACGGCTTGCTCAATGTCACGGCGAGTGGCTTGAACGGAACCATCAAGCTGCCCTACAACTACCCAAACGGTTCAGCGGTGTATTTGGGGGATCCTGGCTGGGGATATCCGCCATCACTGTATCCTAACTTGACATATGGCTCTCCAAAGCCGGGAACCAACTTCTCCACCATTTACTACCAGGGTCGAATCGTCGATCCCGACGACACGCTGTTTCTGGGGCCCCTAGTCATCAACGAGACCTACTCTCTCTTGTCATTGACGGTGCCGCTGATCAACAACACGTCTCGCTCAGATGTACTTGGTTGGATGACTGTGGTCGCCAACACCGATCTGATCTTCGCCATTCAGCAGTCACCTGAGGGATTGGACAAGACCGGAGAGACCTTGGTAATAGGACCAGCCACGCCGAATAATCATTTTGATCAGCAAATCCGTGGCTCCAGCAAGGAATATGCCGCGGAACAAAACGTCAGGTTTATCTTGCCGCCCGCAAGCAACGCAACTCTATCTAATCGTCACCAAGCACGGAGTGGCATCAACAATTCCTCCGATCCATTCCGCATGTCACAGTACCCGGCCGTCGTATCAGCCTGGACCAAACAAAACAAGGCGATCAACAATGCAGGTGCATACATTTCTACGCGCAACGAGGATGGAACCAAAGTCTCTGCTGGGTACGCAACGCTGTCCACAAGATATCTTGACTGGATCGTGGTGGTAGAACAGTCACACCATGAAGTCGTGGAGCCTATCCTTCACCTGCGTGATGTTGTTCTGATCTGTGTCTTCTCCGTGACGGGCCTCCTTCTCCTCGTCATGTTCCCCATGGCTCACTATTCTATCACCCCAATCCGCCAGCTAGCCGCAGCCACAGCTAAAACCGTGGAGCCCTACCAGCCAGATGATAACAGCGAGTATTCGAGCACTTTGGGTCAGCGAGAGGCAGAACAGGAAGACAATCTGGGCGCAGATGAACGAGAAGTCGCGCGGAAGGAAGGCTTTCTTGGTGTGCTCACCAGGATCACAAAGTCCAGGCAATCGGAACGGTCGAACACTCCACGGCGGCGCAGAACGTTCAGGATACCGCGGAAAGTTCCGGAACGCAAGCATTTTATCACCGATGAACTGACTGAGCTTACGCGAACGTTCAACGAAATGTCTGACGAATTGACGATGCAATATGAACGCCTCGAAGAAAGAGTCAGGGAACGCACAGCGGAGCTCGAGAAGAGCAAGAAAGCTGCCGAAGCCGCTAATCAGAGCAAGACCCTTTTCATTGCTAACATATCGCACGAATTGAAAACACCGCTCAACGGTATCCTGGGCCTCACGACCGTCTGCATGAACGAAGATGATTTGGGACGGATACGCTCGACCCTCAACACCATTTACAAGTCGGGGGATCTGCTGCTTCATTTGTTGACGGACCTGCTAACTTTCAGCAAAAATGAGGTCGGCCAACAGCTTTCGATCGACGAAGCTGAATTCAGGTTGAGTGATCTGAGCACCCAGCTAATACCAACGTTTGAGAAACAAGCCAGAGAGGCGCAGGTGGATCTCAAGGTGCTTTTCCTCGGCACAAATGACGCCTTTGGGGACTCGTCGGACGCTTCAGGCGAGAAGCTATATGGGCCTGTTGGAACAGGTCGTGTTCGAGACATGTGTTTATGGGGCGACAAGAATCGAATCCTGCAAGTCTTGATGAACTTCGTCAGCAACAGTTTGAAGTTCACACCAGCACATGGCTCGGTTACTGTTCGAGTGCGATGCACGGGGCTCGTCGAAAACATTCCGAGTCGAGCCGGCAGCGCACGGAAATCGTCACTGGCTTCCCGGAAGTCCAAATCGTCCAGTAACAAGCGCGTGCGGATGTCGAATGGCTCCCTGGTCGCTCCCGAAACCGGAGAACACGAGAAGAATCACTCCAACTCTAATTCTGGCGAGGACTCGAAACTTAGCATTACCGTGGCTGGTGGTACTACTCACATCTCCAAGGTCGCTGAGAGGCAGAGGTCGATGTCACCACCTCCCGTGAACACAAAAGATTTGAGCTTTGAATTCGAAGTTGACGATACCGGGCCTGGCATTCCGCCCGAACAACAGAAAATGATCTTCGAGCCCTTCGTACAGGGCGACCTAGGTCTCAGCAAGAAATATGGAGGGACTGGACTTGGCTTGAGTATCTGTGCTCAACTAGCAGCGCTGATGGGGGGCGATATCTCTCTTGACAGTAAAGTCGGTGTCGGCAGCAAGTTCACTATGCGCATTCCTCTACGCTATGTCGCCGAACGGTCACCGTCAATGGCATCCTCAATGCACAGATCGCTCTCGAAGGCTAGCAGCCTGGTCGGGCAGCCCTTACATGACTCACCGCCTGAATCAACGATGCACAACCATACCGGCTCCACGACATCTCTGCCGTCTACCCGGGACGACCAACCCAAACTGGCGGACGTACCACGGATCGTTGGCTTCACTCAGCCTTACGTCGCCAAGGAGACGAAAAGCACCAATTCGCCCGAAGCCAAGCTCAATGAGATGAAGAAAGTAGAAAACGAGGCTGCTCAGAAGGGTCGAAAGGTCCGTGTGCTTGTCGCCGAAGACAACCAGATCAACCAGGAAGTGGTGCTGCGTATGTTGAGGCTAGAAGACGTCTATGGTAAGTTCGTCCTCTTACACCAGCGACTCACTACTAATTCGTCCAGACGTTACCATTGCCAAAGACGGACAAGAAGCATTCGACAAAGTTCGAGAATCCATGGTGAGCGGACAAAGATTCGATCTGGTGTTCATGGATGTGCAGATGCCAAATCTTGACGGCATTCAATCAACCAAGCTCATTCGAGAGATGGGATTTACATCGCCTATCGTTGCACTTACGGCATTCGCCGAGAAGTCCAATGAGGACGAGTGTATGGCTTCCGGCATGGATTACTTTCTGGCCAAGCCGATCCGACGACCGGCGCTCAAACAAGTCCTGAAGAAGTATTGCGCTACGATTCCGGAAGAAGAAAATGAAGGCAGCTCAACTGCTGTGACTCGCCTGGGACAAAATCAGGAACCGCACTTGAACAATGGTCAACTGCCACGGAGACGACCTGATACTGGAATTGTAGACACTGACGATGTCTCGCCTCTATCATAATCATCGACGTCGGATTCTACCAGTTGTCGGTGCTCAGTGTCCCCTGGTGCATCTGTGCCGAGGCAGTGATTATTGCCCGATGTCCCACTCCCGAGGAGGTGGATAGGCCCTGGCACATGCCTGCTAGCCTGGCTCTATGCGGCGGACTCCTTTATGGTTGAAATCCCGGCTAGCTGGAAGGCTAAGCATAAAACAGCGACGGCGCAAGGAGTTTGGCACTATCTCGATGGCTCTCGGGGATCTGGGATTTTTGTGTATATCATCATCTGAGAAAAGGACGATATGGGTGGCTCATGGTGGCGGCAGGGGGCAATGAGCAGCATCCAGCTTGTTGGGTTTACGAGTAATCATGCAGTGGATAACTCAATCTGTTAAAAAGCTAGCGGATGAAGGCACACGATGATCTCGCATTGCTCAATTTGGCGTTTTCTTCCTATTTGCAATTTGCCTCGCGTGCGCACGGCTCCACGATACCAAAATTTGAGATTACCGCCCTCTGCCGTCCTTCAAAGGTCTGCTGTGTGACCACACCAACCACACAGCGGATGTGGCTAATCGCGTTGTTGGTGCTGGCATTCCGTCGCAGTCCCTTGGAATCCTTCATTGGCTAAGCTTCGTACAGGCTACTGCAGGCCCAGTGTGGGGTGTCCTGTAGATCGATCTCGCCTCCGGATCAGATCTCGTATTGACGTCACCACCAGTGCCGGTCAGGGACCCTTTGCTCCATCCCTGGCTCGAGAAACAAGCGCGTTGTCGGCCGCAATACCACTGTTTCTAGCGTCAAACTGTTTTCTGCTAACACGTGGTCACTGTCCAATTTTCACGCATCGCGACTTGAGAATAACATTGTTTCCGTGTGTGCGTAGCGCCCACAACATGATACCATACAAACGCAAAGAATCTGGAACCACACATCCTCTTCTGCCGGACCTGAAACGACCGCGGACCAGCCAGCCGACCAGTGACCAACAGAAAGACTCAACTAACGAAATCAAGTATGGCATCGTCTTGCGCAAATTTTATCCTCCCGAGATGATCAATGAGCGCGCTCTGGCATACAACGCTGGCAAGATTGAGCGACCAATTGAGACGTTGGAGAATGCCATCAGTGAGACGCAGCCGCAGCGCGACAGCATCCTTCCTGGCAAATGTGTCGTCCATTGGTACAAATGTGATACTCGTACGATGGATAACAGAGCCTTACACCTGGCGAGCGAGACAGCAGCGAAGCATCAGTTGCCTCTGCTATGCTTCTATCTGATATCGCCTCAGGACTTCGAGGCACACCTGACCGCACCTATCCGCGTTGACTTCATCCTGCGCAACCTCCAAAAGTTGAAAGAAGATCTGTCCGAGCTTGACATTCCATTGTACGTCGAGACGGTAGAAAGGAGAAGGGAACTGCCGTCGAGACTCATCGAGCTTTGTACAATCTGGGGTGCGAGCCATGTGTATTGCAATGCCGAGTATGAAGTCGACGAGCTCAGGCGAGAGGCCACGTTGACGAGGTCTTGCTTGGGGAAAGGGATATCCTTCAATGTTATCCACGATACATGCGTTGTTCAGCCTGGCTGCCTCAAAAGTGGCGCTGGAGGTGCACTTTCAGTCTACAGCCCCTGGCACCGCAAATGGTGTGCATACCTCAACGAACATCCGGAACAACTGGACGCCTTTCCCCCTCCCAAGAAGAACCCTCCAGCTACACTGCAAGCCTACCCTGACCTCTTCGCCTGCAAGATTCCAGACGCACCCAAGTCGAAACAGCTGAGGGAGGAAGAGAAGACAAGATTCCACACAATGTGGCCTGCAGGGGAACATGAGGCTCGGGCGAGACTGAGCAAGTTCATATTGGAAAGGATTCTGAAATACCATGAACACAGGAATCTCCCGGGAGGCAACGCCACCTCGAATCTTAGCGCACATCTGGCAGCGGGCACTCTCGCGGCACGAACTGTGGTTCGTGAAGCTCGTGACGCCGCACCATCTAAGAGATTGACCGACGACCGCAAACAAGGACACTCAATGTGGATCGGGGAGGTGGCTTGGAGAGATGTACGTTCACATCTCCGCCCCCATGATACGTACACGCCAGCTAACCACCTTTTGCAGTTCTACAGGCACGTGCTGTGCCATTGGCCTTATATCTGGTGAGTGTCGCTCCCGAGGGTGGTACCTGAGCTGACTCTTCCACAGCATGAACAAACCGTTCAAGCCAGAGTATAGCAATATTGAGTGGGAATATGATTTGGATCAATTCGGGAGATGGACAGACGGAAATACGGGCTTTCCTATTGTCGACGCGGCAATGCGGCAGGCAAGGCACACTGGATATATGCACAACAGGTGTCGTATGATAGTGGCATCATTCCTGGCCAAAGACCTCCTCATCGACTGGCGCATGGGGGAGAAATGGTTTATGGAACACCTCATCGATGGTGACTTCGCATCAAATAACGGCGGATGGGGCTTCTCTGCGAGTGTGGGAGTCGATCCACAGCCATATTTTCGAATCTTCAACCCGTTGCTTCAAAGTGAGAAATTCGACCTGGAAGGAAACTATATACGTAAGTGGATTCCTGAGCTTGCGGGTATCAAGGACAAAGGCATTCATGACCCGTATGGTCGGGGTTATGCAAAGATCGCCGAAGTGAATGGGTATCCAAGACCGATGGTTGATCATAAAAAAGCACGAGAGCGGGCTCTGGCGCGATACAAGGCAGGCATCGGCAGGGATACAGCCTAATTAACCCGTTCGCCGACCTGCGCGCGATTCTACCTGACCAGATGGGCCTGACTTCTCTTTGACTGCAAACTCAAGTCGTGTCTAGGTTTGGCAAGCTCCAAAATTTTCCGGGCGTTGGCGGTAGAAGACTCCCTCTGCCTAACTTCGTGCAGGAAACCGTGGTGGACGGCCAAGGAACAGACAGAACATCTCAGGCCCGTTGGCTTTCATCCAGCCCCATTCTTCCGCCGTTCGACTCACGATTGTTTGGTCGCTGCATGGCATGAACCTGCCTTGATTGTCTTGATCCTCCGCCTATCTCAGTGTGACATCGACTTTGGGGCTTGAGCATACCAAAGATCTTCTCGACTATGTAGGAGACTTATGGCATTAAAGTAAGTGCCACACTCACCACATGCGAACATGAACATTCGATGCACAGCTAACCAGAGTCGCGGTCACCACAGTCGGCTCAGGAAACGACTATCCGCGAGCATAGGTATCCATCGATTGAGCTCGATTGAGATCAAAGTATGCAACACAGTCGCCCGACGTATTCCGCGAGCCACATGGTCTTCCTAATATTGAATTCCTTGCCGTGCTGATTCTCATGCTGGCATGTTAGCGGTGTCGACGCTCACCGTTCAGAGTCAAGTCAAAAGGTATGCCATCGATGGTCGAGCCAGGTCATCGGCTGGTCATAACCCATGTGTCCTACCATATGAATGGGGATCCGCAAGCCGGGAACTCGGCACCTTTATGAACAAGCTTTCTGGCGCCGACTACCGCCTGCCGATTCCCTACCCCTCCTTTGCCGCCCGTTTCCACACAATTTCTTACCAATCGCCGAGGATTGGATAGATGCGGTCACAATCCCCATGACCACAATGTGACAAGCACAGCAACGGTGGGACCCGGCCATACTGCGCCTTGACCGGTTTTTTGACATCTGCTCTCACCATCGCCGCCTGCTCGTCTTCCTGCTTTGTCTCCGACCGCTTCTGCGCCCTTCCTGACGTCCTGGTTGCGATACAGCCTGAGTTCCATGGCTCTGACCGTCTGTGGGCCGGATTCAAGTCATGGCGAAAGGAGCGAAGCGGCCGCTTCAGCTGCCCAAGCAACAACTACTCATTCTCGCCGCATGTCGCCTCGCAGAGCCGGTCGCATCGACATCCGTCTACCCATATATCGTAAGTCTTGCATCTCTGATTTCAATGCGCTCTCGACTGACCAGAGAACAGCCGGAAATGATACAGTCATTCAACGTCGGAGATGACCGAATCGCTCAATGGGCCGGCCTCATGTCCGCTACCTTTTCCCTTTCGCAGTGCCTCACCGGAGTCGCCTGGGGTCGAGCCTCAGATCGCTTTGGCCGGAAGCCCATCATCATCGTTGCCTTGACCTGTACGATGCTGTCCAGCATCTTATTCGGGTTTTCGAAGAATCTTGCCTGGGCTTTTATAGCCCGGTCACTGCAGGGCTTGTCAAATGGGAATGTTGGGATCATCAGAACGGCCGTTGCGGAGTTGGTCCCACAGAAAGAGTTGCAGCCTCGCGCGTTCAGTATTATGCCGCTGGTGTGGAATGTCGGTAGTGTGTTTGGGCCATCGGTCGGTGGATCTCTCGTCCACCCTGTGGAACGATATCCCCAGGTGTTCGGAAAGATGAAGCTACTGCAGGAATATCCCTTCGCCTTGCCAAATCTTCTGATCAGTGTTCTCTTCATGGGCGGCATCACGGCAGGCTTTCTTTTCCTTCACGAAACATTAGAAGAGAGGAGAAAGCAGCGGGACTATGGTCTTATCCTCGGCAGACTCCTTACCCGCCCTTGCGTCCGAAGGCCACACCAGCGGACGCTGGTGAACAACGAAGAGTCAGAGGCCTTTCTCTCTGGCATGTCTAGCGAGATGTCGACGCCAGTGTCCGGTTCGCAGCATGCTATCCACAGCCTGCCAAAACAGGCCCCGGGATGGGGTGAGGTCTTCTCTCGACAATCAAATATCAATTTGCTTGTCTATACATTCCTTGCTGTATGTTTGCCGCCACGGTGCAAGAATGCGATGATTCCAATTGTTCATTGCCGAAGGTGACACCAAAGCTGACGCCCTCGCAGATGCACTCCGTGGCCTATGATCAGCTACTAGCTATCTTCATGCATTATCCGGTGCAATCGATTCATGATCCAGATGTACATCTTCCCCTCAAGTTTGCAGGGGGTTTCGGCATCGACTCGAAGGAAATAGGCTTGCTGTTCACTGTCTACGGTGTTTTCGGCATGGTCATCCAATTCTTCGTGTTTCCGCCGTTTGCTAGGAAGTACGGCGTATTGAATTGCCTCAAAGCTTGTTGCGTGGCTTTTCCTCTGGCCTACATTGCGACACCATATACAGCTCTTTTGCCAACTAACTCTCAGAGGCAAGGAGTCATGATGGTGATAATGTTGATCAAATGCTTTTGCGGTATCTTTGCGTTTCCCTGCTCGACCATCCTTCTCACCAACAGCGCCGCTAGTCTGAAAATTCTGGGCACTCTCAACGGAGTGGCAACAAGTATTTCTGCTCTCGGGAGAGCTGCTGGCCCGGCTTTAGCTGGGTGGACCTTCACAGAAGGTGTGGATATTGGATATGTGATCATCTCTTGGTGGACATTGGCTTTGGTGGCAATCATCGGCGCTGTTCCAGTCTGGTTCTTGGTCGAGATGGAGGGCTTCGGAGACTCCCAAGAGGATGAAAGTGACGATGAGATGGATATTGAGGAGGACGATGACGCCAAAGCTTCTGCTATTTCATCCTCCGATGCACATCTCAGAAAGCATACACCTTCTTCTGTTTTCGAGGATGCCGTGGAGGACGATCAACCCACCCCAGAAGGCAGCTTGCTTCGACCTTCGAATCCTCCTTCTCGGCGGCAAAGCTTACAACTCCGACGAGTCCCAAGTCCGATCGGGCTGGGTCCGGGTGTGATTCCGCACGGCGCGAGGAGATATAGCAGCGACTTAGGCGCTACAAGAAGCGGATTTGGGGTCGGTGGAACAGCATATAATTGAAGCATTTGCAGGACGTACGCTTAGGCATCGTCCACGGCGTATTGGATGCCCGCATACAGAAAAGGGTCCATGGATATTACAAAACACGTCCAAACTACAGGCGAGCGGTGCTACTCTTCAAGACCTGCGTGACACCTGTTCTGACCTCTTCGACAATATCTGCTGCATTCTCCAGCTTGTTTACAAGACCCACACTAGCCCCCACCCAGACGTTCGCACGATTTGTCGTCCCGAATTCAGCATCTGTACCTGTGACTGATTTTCGATGCATTTCTCGGATGTGACCCATGTCGACCCCTCGTACTTGATCACTGTAACTTTCCGTGGGCAGGCTTCTCCCATCATAAGCATCTAGCCAAGTGTTCTGTCCAGTCACATTGTCGAACAACTTGCTCTGGACCGTGCTCGTAGCGCCATCGCTCGCAGCAAGCACCAGGTCTCGATAGCCAGGCGGTACATTCGTCTCTCTCGCGGCTAGAAACCTGGTCCCAAGTACTACTCGGATGCTCCAGGGTGAAGGCAGCGGCAGCACCACGAGCATCCGCAATGCCACCAGAAGCGAGCAGGGGAATACTGCCTATACCGTTCGTCGTCAAGACATCGGGCACCTCTGGTAAGAGGGACACTATGCTTGCTCCTCTCTCAAAGCTATGACTTCCAGCGTCTGCCCCCTGCCATAACGAGAGGAGCAAAGTAAAATGGCGGCGACTTGTCGAAGCGATTGGCGACGGCAACGATTTACCAGGCGGCTCTGTTTCGTGCAGCTCTTGTATTTCCCGGTTCGATTGTGGACAGACAATAAAACGGCGGACGAACAACGACCACTGCTTGTCTTCATTTCGTTGGTCATAAACTGTGCCTAGAGATTCGGAGGCCGGTCAGCCATGATTCCAGGGGTGCCTGATTCATAAGCTATCTGCAGGCGGCATTGGTTCGCTACTTGCGTAATCTTGAGTTTAGTAGTCGCTCGTCTTACTTCATCTTGGCGGTTGACGAGCGAGGAGCGAGATAATCAGCTCGGGAATGCCACCAACAGATCTGTTAAAGCCAGGATGGTGTCCGCTTCTGACTTGTTGCGAAGGGAAAGATTGGAGCATAGGTGCGACGAGCTTGGAGTACTTGTTTATATACTCTGCTCGAGCTACTCTAACAACCTGGTGGCCGATCGCAACCTCTCCTGAATGATCTCACTCCATCTGAGAGCGTTCGTCAAGTTTTTGTCCTCGAAGCTCTCGACGAGCCCCGGGTAGGTGGCGCCGGCATACCCAGTCCACCGACCTGGCGCGAAGACCACGTGCTTGAACCAGGGCCTTTCATCCAAACCGCCAGGGAACAGGAATTGACGTTCCAGGGCCTTGTATTTCTCATTCGCATTCCGGACCTCATAGAACAGCCTGACTTTCTTCCACCAGTCCCACCATGGCACATCTTCAGCAAGTCTGTCTGTCAAGTCGGCTGTGTAATCATCGAATTTTGCAGCTGCCTTCTTGAATCCCGCGGTGGCGTTGTCAAGGGCGTGGAAGCTGAAGCTCGATCCGGTCAATTGCAACTTTGACCTTTCTTTCACATCAGCCAAATAGTTTTTGAGGCCTTGGGCATAATCTCCAGCGCTCAAGGACAAGAGAGGTGTCTCGCTCAACTGGGCAATGAGCAGTGACAACACCTTCGCCACCGTGACATGGTAAAGCCATCCCTGGTCCCCGTAAGTGTCCATCCAGTGAAAGGAATCGTAGTTCGAATGATAGTGGTAAACTGCGTCTTTCGGCCCGCTGGCGAAGCCAAAATCAAGCGACGGAATTCCTGCGAAGTCTTGGAATGCTGTAAAGTCGCTCCCTGAACCCATGGTACGTATATGGCCATGCCAAGTATCTCCGACGGATTGGCCCGGGACAGTTTGATTCGGAGAAGGAACCGAATTGGTGACTGCGTAGAGTAGTTTGTTCAACAGCGGAGATGCGGCAGCATCAAAGTGTTTTCCACGAGCACCCACATCCACGTTAAGGTATGCAACGGTGCTCGCAGCAAGCCAGGGGAGGTATTCTTCAACCCATTCAGTCGAGCCGACGAGGCCGTACTCTTCACCGTCCCAACTCGCAAAGACAATTGTTCGAAGGGGCTTCCATCCTGCTTTGAGCGCCTCTCCAAAGGACGTGATGACTTCATTCAGTGCCGCTGAGCCTGAGTTAGGATCGCCAGCCCCTCCTGCAATCCAAGCATCACGGTGATTGCCGACGACTATCACTTCGTCCTTGGCAGTGCCATTGATGATTCCTATTACGTTCCAGAGCGGCGTCGTCACGTACTCTTGTTCGTTGACCAAATTGAGAACCACCGAATCTGGTGAGGGCCCGATATTGTATTCCACACCCTTGTACCCCAGACCTCCACCGTGCCAGTATTTGTTGAAGGATGTGGCATTCGGGCCATATCCGTTCAAAGCCTTGAGGAGAGGAAGAGCATCGGCGTAAGATATAGGTAGTGACGGTATTTGAGGAGTAGAGAAGTGTGGATCGACGCGAGGGACGCCAGGCTTAGAGGGATAGCCAGGGGTCGTTGGGTCGCCGGGAAGAGTGCCTGGAGAAACACCTGTCAGCAATCGTTAGTCAAAGGACGACTCTGCAAACCCACTTATGTATTGCGTACTCCCTCTCTGCACGCTGCTCGGATTTCTTGCTGGTCCGTCAGGATAAGGCTTGTGCCCATTCTCCTCTGTGATCTCTCCGTCCTCCTGCGGATCAGAGTACATAACCACTCCGACCATACCCAGTTCCTGGGCCCGTTTGACCTTGAGACCACGAAAGATACGACCGTATTTCGCAAGAGCAATTTTGCCTTTCAAGCTTATATTTGCAGCGCGAAGATCCTCAAAGTCTTGGTAGGTGCCGAAGTTGACATACACATATGATGCGGTAACGTTACCGGAGGCAGAGTAGCCATGAAAAGTCGGCACGCGGTCTTCCAGAGAGGTGGTCGGATCATCTTGGAGTACATCTTCTTCCAAAGAAGCCTCATACTTGACCTTCTTCCCATCCAGCAAGGCAAGCCGATGGCCGAGTGGGTAGTTAATAAAGACGTCGTAGGCAACAATCTCCGTCTTGACACCAAACTCTTCCCACCTTTCTCTTGTCCACAGGGCTTGACTGAGATTCTTGCCAGCCAGATGGGGCCCGGCAGTGTAGTATTCACTCCATGCACGAGCTTTGTCTGCGTTCGGTGTCTCCAGTAATAGGTCCACTAGTTCAGCGAAGCTAAGCCCGTTGCTTTGAGGCCATGATGCGGGATATGGACGAGACCAAGGGACGTAGGACGAGACAGAGTCGTGGCCACGAGGAGAAATGGCGACCGGGAGGAGAAAGCAGATGGCAATAGCGAACAGGCAGCTCCCAAGCGCAACAGTACAGAATCGCTTGAAGGCCGTATGTGGGGTGCGCCGTGGGCGTCGGGTCACGTAGACGGTTGAGATGAGAGGCGTATGCTCATCCATTGTGTGCGCATCCTTTTCAACCGATGGGACTGGCCTCGAAGGAGACTCTCGACATACGAGCATTGGCTCAAGATGATTGATTCTGGTGTTGGCGAAGAAGAGCCTTGTATCTGTCGACGCAATCCACTATCCACAAGCGCAGTTTCCCCTCCCAAAACGGGGAAAGTCTCCCGAGATGCATCTCCAACTTTGCGCCATCTCGCGACCGCATTCCGTGTGACTCCGGATCACTTGAACGTCGCTTGTAGCTTTACGAAAACTCCTGCATTTGTCCTTTCCCTGCAAGCGCCGGAAGCCAGGAAGCCCGCTTGCTCACATAGAACTCGACCCCCGGCTCTGCAGCTTCTACATCAGACTCATCGTCAAGCGAACCGGCCAGAATGAGAGTCACTCCTTGGAATGTCTCAGCATCTCCAACCTTGCTAATAACACAACCACAGTTTTCACAGAACGAGTACTTCAAGATCATTCCACTGTCTTGAATAGTTTGATATGTCTTGGGCGTTCCCTTTGTCACCCTGAAGTTTCCTTCTTGTACGACGATGTTGGTAGTGAAGAGGCTTCCGCTCACGTGGCGGCAAGTTATGCAGTGGCACGTTGCCTGAAAGAGTGAGCCACATTCAGAGACGCGTTCGAATCGCAAATACCTTCATGACGGGCTCTCCGGCGTACTCATACTTTAGCTGGCCACAAAGGCAACCTCCTGTCGGCATAGTGAATTATACGTGAGGGGGAAACAGGCGTCCGGTCTGATATTTCGTTGGAGGTTGTTGACGAAGTCCACGTGGCCGAAGAGGTCCATTTATACCTTCTCAGTCAAGACCAGCAGCGATATATCTGCAGCCTGTGTCAGCCCCGGCGGCAACTCTGCGCCCGCCGCGGTTCAAAGAACCAGACTTGAATCGCACATCTGAGAAGTTCGTCGTCTGACTGGTCTGCAAGCCAAAATGGTAAGTTTGCTCGTCAAAATCTTCCTGACCGACCTGAATAGCTACCTGAACAATGCTTAGATCGACATCCGTATTCCAAAAGATCCTCTGCCGGGAACCATGCACATGTCAGCATGTCATCAGAAGGGCGCAAAACACGGGAGAATCGTTGCACTTTCCCCAGCTAGCTGACTTGGTCCTGGTATTGGAGAGGAGCTAGCTGATCTCCTCAGTGATGCTCAGCCAATCAGTCCCATCACCACCAGCCGTCTCATATCGCGGAATCGGTGTTGTTGGTGACTTAAGCAAGACCCGTCACCTGTCACCTACCTGCTAAACTGGAGGCAGGTTCACCGGCTGTTTATCTCTGACCGAGGCTGCTGGTCAGCACTCGTCAAGACCGGGCATATTCCGCAAGGGATGCCAAACAACCCTCTCATGGTTCCGGTAGCAGCTGAAAAGGAGAGCCGTGACATTGGAATACCCATGCTCAATACCTTTCGAATCAATGTTTGGCATCCAATCTCACGCGACTTTCCGGATCCAGTGCTATTGCATTTCGACTATTTGCGTAATAGGCCCCAACGAAAACGGCAAGGCTACTTCGTCGGACATTGAACTCCATCTCTGCCTCTTTACAGGGACTAGCTTCTACCCATGAACCATGGTATAGCTTTTAGTGGCAACTTGTTTATGTTCTGCTGCACACCCAAGAGATCGCTGAGTTCGTTACAGAACCCAGTGTTCCAAAATGCCTACAGCATCTGGCATTCATGAGCTCGCCGATACGTGGATGGTATGCCACCTCAGTTATGTGCAAGGCTCTTCCCGAAGATATCCTTTCGATAAGCAACCGCCAGGGCAATCGATTCGGCGTCTCCTGGGGGGATAATCTGGGAGGCATACATGCCACAATTACCTGCTGCAGGATCGATCCACTGGATATGTAAGCTTTCATTGAATGTTCAGGGGGAAGCTTCGACAAACCCAAAATAAGTTAGGAAGACCTCCCCAGGTCAGTGTCCCTTTCTTGCATACGCCATCCACATCTTCCATGTTCAAGATGCCTCCAAGACCGAAATTCCAAGCTTCGCTGTCCACTCCGGCTCGAAACATCGGTCCTGCGAGTGGCTCCCCAACCGTGGCTTTAGGTGGCTGTCGTCGGAAAGTTGCGGCGCGAACATCGATTTCACTGTGTCCGACCGGAGAAGTTTCTCATCGTTCCTCAGCAGCGAGGTGAGCACTCTCACGTAGTCCGGCGCGGCGGAATATAGCCCACCACCACCAAGATCGTCCTTGGGGTTCTGAATGGCGTACGGCTCGGTGGGTACCAGATCTCCCTCAGGTGTCCGTTTTGTCGTCGGGCACAAGTTCCTGCTAATGTTCTCGTTCTTCTCTGGGCGGAACCCAGACGAAGTCATCCCGAGAGGCTCAAAAATGTTTTGCTGCATATACTCTCCGAGGCTGATTCCTCCGTTCACTCGCTCCACCATCTTGCCAGCCCAATCGATGCTTACACTATACGCCCAGCTCTCGCCAGGCTCGTACAGAAGAGGGGCGAAGTATTGTATAGTCTGCAATGGCCAAAGTCAGAATTCGAAACATGGCCATGGGCGAGGAGTGATGTTACTATGTCACCTCCGCCGGGGCGTACTGGTTCTCCGCGCCATTCCCGCCACTTTGCGAGTTCTGGCGACAGGAAGTCGTAGCCCATTCCACTGGAGTGCGTCAACAATTGACGCAATGTGATCTTCTTTGTTGCTTTCCGAAACTGTGGCTGGCCGTGGTCCCAACCAGTCAAGATGTCTGGGGATCTCCACTCGGGGAGGATCTCGGAGACATCATCGTCGAGTACCAGTTTCCCTTGCTCGACATTTTGCAGTGCGCAAATAGTGGTCAAAAGCTTTGTGCACGACGCGATCCAGAAAGTGGTTTCCTCACTCATCGGTTTAGCAGTCTCGGGGTCAACAGACGTGAAGCCTCTGGCATGGCGATGCACTGTGTTTCCTACTGCGGTCTCAGCACGTCGCTGAACCAATGTTGAGTTGGCAACCAGTTACCAGAGGTATCGGCTGCGATCACGACAGCGCCCAAAATTCTCCGGCCTGGCCCAGGTTTCGTGGCAGACTCAAATTCCTCTTCCCACGCCATCTCAAGGATGCTTTTGTGCGGGCTTTGACCTCGCCTGTGTTAATTATTCGAGCCAGATTGGCTCTGCAGCTTCTTGTGTCTCGAATGAAAGATATAATATGACCATGTATTTGCTCTTGGCCAGAGAATTGGTTTCGGGGAGGTACCTGTCAGAATTCCCGAAGAACGGGCAAGAAGCTTGTATGAGTTTGCCCACAAGGTAGTCGTGAAGACGCATATGTTTATCCGCAGGCTTCTCAAGAGTGACCATCAAGTCCCTAATGATACATGATATGTCCATTTCCGACAGTGAGCGCCGACGACCCCGCACGGTGTCGAGTATTGAGCGGATAGCCTGCCTTGAATTCATCCTCGGTCCCCCGCAACCAGCCAGGCAACTAGCTGCTACATTTGCAATCTCGCCAAAGCCAGAATGGCGATTAATATGCAAGGGTTATATGGTTGTAACTATTCTATATGCCGACATAGGCTGACGCCGGTCTCTCATGATGTGTCTTCACGCCTAACAAAAAGGCTCGAGTGCAGCTCGGTAGACGTCGGTCAGCACAACGCGAACAGACGTAGATAGCCTCTCGGTTCCGGAATCCCATGCTGTATCCTGATTACACCCACCTCGCTTGAATAATCAAATGCTACAGAAGTTCTTGGACTGTGTCTTGTACTTTCCAGTGACGGATATCGGTGCTCTCACAAATGGACAAAGTCTTGAGCGGCAATCAACATATGCAAGATTTTTCTTGAACGCTGTGCTAAACGCTTCTCGTTTCTCTCTCGCTCGTAGACTCTCTCGCAGAAGGACTGACGCGGACTAGGATACTGCCGTCATATAGCTCTGAGGCATACCGTACTCACACGGGAGAAGTGTCCGAAGGTGCAGCACACGATTATGCAGCGTTTCGATGTCATGGGTGATCCGTCGGATCGGAGCTCCGCCTGATTTACATAGTCGATGGCGCTTGTCATGACTTCAGCTTTGCCGACCTTCGTAGCTGATTCTGAGAGCTTCCATAACGCCCTGGATGGCTCCTAGTCCACACAGGTAGCAAGCAGTGAGCCGCTTTCGATTCGAGGCTCTGGTCTGCGGATTTGCGGCGACAGGGGTCTCGGAGATCGCTTCCCGCGGGACTTCGGACACTGAATCAGCTCTGGTCGATCGGCTGTTGAGGATGCACAGGACGACAAGGCGATTTGTCGCGAGGATCGCTGTGAAGGGCTTCTCAAGAGCTCCACTGTGGGGTGAGAAGAGCAATGACTCGGAGTATGGCAACGAGAAGAGATGATTTGAGTAAGACTGAGGGGCTCAGGGGAGAGATCTTGTTCTGCGCATGCCGAGAACTTGAAATTGGCATCCCATGATACTTCAGGTCCTGACTAGACGACCTGAAGGTTACTCCATAGCGATTTCAAAGTATTCCATGTTGATATGCTTGGTGGCCGTCCCTGGGCAGATGCCGAATGTGTATGCATGCCGATAGTGGAGCCCCCCGCAAACGAGGTATGAGCATCAACGCCTTTGTCGGCATCGGGTAGAAGTCATGCCGTGAAAGGACAAATAGTGCTGAGATAGGTCAGGTCATCCCATGCTAGCTTTCAGCAAGTCAGTGGCCAGATGATGGTTCTCATGAAGGATAGACATACAGGAGCAATGCTCTGCATAGGCGATTGGACCTCAATAACTGCACGACCGTGACCAAAACCTTAAGTAACAGTGTATTCGTCCTTCATGCTCAAGGTCTCTTGCGGCAGTAGGGAAACGAGGAAGAACATGGCGGACCTTATTGTTCGACTAGATAAAAAAGACCTGGTACAGGGTATCCGTTCCAGACCTGAAACTCAAGTCATGAGTCGGAAACACGACAGCAAAACCGCGATGCGTCACAGTGTGTGGAAGTACCAGACGCTTGTCGCGTTCTGGAGCACGTCGGTGAGGCAGAAGAGTGTAGATTGCGGTGTGTGATTCAGTTGCAGCGAATTGTTAATGAACATTTGTGAGGGATGGTTCGGAGCACCCTCGGATATAAATTGCCTGCGCCGAGCGATGAGCGACGAACGTGCTTGAAGGCTCCAGTTACTTGTCGTGTTAGTGTGGGAACCCTCTCTTCTGCTCGTCCCCTACTATATACACCGACTCCGTCAGCAGGCTGACAGCTCCAAGCTCGTACTCCATGCAGCACTGTTCCTTGCGCGTTGGAGCTGATCAAATAGCCGAAGCTCGGAGATCTCGCTGAAAATTCGCTGTTCGGGGAGAACTTGCTCAATACTCCGTACAGGTAATTATCTTGTCGCACAAGGCTGGAGTACCGCTACGCGGCAGGTCCAGGCCCGTTTGATTGGTCTAGGCGCTAAGCCACATGGCTTAAGCGAATATGATGTGCAGACCGCAGTTGGCCGCTCTGCCGTTATTCCACGATCTGCCTGAGAGTCAGACCACCGCCCCTTCCTTCCCCATGACCTCCAGCGCTATGCTCGTTCAGCAATACCAATGACATGGACAGCACCCGTCATGAAGACGAAACGGATGATCCGATCCCGAGGGAATCCCAAATAGATCAGATCCTACGCCGGAAACGCAAGGCGCGCAAAGCCCGCGTGTGCTACCCTTGCAGGCAGAGGAAGGTGAAATGCGACTATGGAACTCCATGCCAGCGCTGCATAGACCGAGAGCATCCCGACTTATGTTCCTATCAACAGCCACCAAAAGCACGATCGCTCGATCCCACCTTTACCTCATCTCCGGCCGAAGTTGCTAGACCAGTGGCTGCCGAAGGACGGTCGCCAGAAGACAGGACTTTATGGTCGGAGCTGGAGAGCGTCAAGGCTCTACTACAAGATGTACAAGGCAAGCTCCAAAGCAAAACGACTTCTCAAACGCAGGCTGCAAGCCACCCTGCCGAGCAAGACCCAAGAGATGTGCATCGGACTCCCTCTGGGGTGCAAGCTCCAACTGCGCTCCTTGGAGACTTTGTCCATATAGGGCGTCACTCTGTTCCCGCCATGGTCATGGCATTAGGCACCAGAAGCGACGAGGTAGCTGTGCAAGACATCATTGGCAAGAGTGCCCTGCCCCTTTTCGGCTTAGATAACGAAAGCGCAACATATCCGTTTGTCGATCTTTGGGGTTTGCCTACGGGTTCCTCCACACGTGTTCACGAGATTTGTAAAATCGTACCCTCGGACGCTGAATGCTTCCAATTCCTTCGCCAGTATCGAGATGTTGCTCATATTCTGTACCCAGCAGTAGTCGACATTGACCAGCTGGAGGCGGACTTGACCCAGTTCCTCATCAGCCGATCCAGCCAACAATTGCCAATCGACAACTACGTCAACGCATCATCGACCGTTTACGGGAAGAGCCTGCACTGGCTCAGTCTCATGTTTGCTTGCCTTGCATCTGGCTGTCAAGCTTCCTCGCTCCCCCGAAAGGAACGTCATCTAACCTCTCAAGTCTACGGTATGCAACAGCCCCCTCTTTCGGATTCTGCTACCGCACTTCTAGGCTGACGACAGACACAGTGTGTTGCGCTTACGAATGTCTCCGGTGTGTCAATTACCTTTGCCATCCGACGGTGTTGGACATACAGTCGCTGTTGGTTCTCGGAAATGTCATCGCAAACAATATGAATGCCGGTGTTGCCTGGTCGTTACTAGGTAACGGCATTCGCTTTCGTGGCGCTGATTACGGTTCTCACCTTCAATAGGGCTGACGATTAGATTAGCAATTACCATCGGCTTGCACGAAGCCACCGATTCACCTGACCACTCGACTGAGATGCATTCCCGACGTGAACTCTGGTAGGCGTCGTCAATCTTTCCAAGGACTGAAGATACTGACGTTCAGTAGGTGGCGGATTCTTTGGCAAGACAGTTTGCTGTCAATTACCTTCGATCGCGCCCCGTCAAGTTTCATGTTCGCCTCCGCACAATCTCAGCAGAGACAAGCTTCCGCCATGACAGACATGTCGTACGTCGAGTGCATGAAGAGCCTTTGCAGTACTGGGTTGCATATCGTCCAAGAGCGCTCAATCTCATCAGATCTGCACTGGGAACCTTCGAACATGCTCAAGGTGCAAGAAGAACTCGCCGATATCTTGAGACACGCAGCACCGCACCTACGGGACGTCACCAACTGCCGCTCGATTAGGGACCAGCTCGAGCATTGGTGTTTTGATCTCCACATCTCATTTTTCACTTCGGAGGTGTTCCGTCCGCTGCTAAAGCATCAGAAACCGAACGCAGAGCAGCTGATCCAGCTCCGAGACATCTGTATCGAGAGCCTGGCCAAGACGGTTCATGCATTCCTGGGACTTCAGAACGTGGCATCAAGCGTCAAGACTTCCTGGGCGGTCCTGCAGAAGGCGCTCAGTTCTGCTTTGATGTTGAGCATATTGCAGGAACCGTTAAGGGATAAGCTTGTGAAGACTTTGCTGGACGGTTTCATGGCTGTCATGATGGATCTGAACTCCGGCCTTGGGCCTTCTGAGCTGCCGGCGCCCCTGTCTCGGTCGATCGCTGCGCTGCAGCGGCTCCTGGCTCTGCCTGCGAACGGTAACCTCAGCGCAAGTCGAATAGTCCACCATCAGCTGGAGCCAGGCCAAGACATCGAGGAACTCGCGAACAAAACGAAATCACCACACTCAATGTCGTCGTCGTCGCAAAGTGGAGGGTCGCCGTACACCTTGAGGGACAGTATCCTTTGGGGAGGTCCAGGTCATGGTATGACACCAGGATGAATGTCTCGGCATCGCCTCAATCCTCAATGGGTGTCTCAGCGCTTGGGACTGCGACGGTTCAAGCCTCTCGGCGTCTTGTCTACGTATGTTAATGCATAATGAACGAAACTTCTGGATTTCCAATTCTGCGCTGGCTGGGCCGACGAAAGTCACAGTTCTCTTCAAGGGCCAGTCATGACTTCACGTTTGGGCTCTCATCCCAACGTCGTGTCAATTTCAGCAACCAAGAGTCGAGTTTGAGGCAAGCTGTCATCATTGCCTGCCGAGCACAAGCACCGAGATGTTGCACACCACCCATAGCTAGGAAGCAGCATTGCTCGAGTTCACATTTGCTCACTTCCGATAGCACCGATCACGCAATTCGAATAAGAGATGGTCTCTAGGTCCCGCAATGACGCGTATGTGTTTGGTCACCCACTCAAGGTGTTGCTCACGGTTAGGGCTTGCATGCTTTAATCTCCTCATACTTCAAGGAGCGAGATAAATAAGTGGAGGGATCTTCTCTACGCCCATCTGATCAGCTTAAAAGGCACACTGAAGACAGTTCAAACCGGTGTGAAAATAAGCAAATAATGTTGGTGCCTTTGGCTTGCGATAACACAAAGGACTTGACCTGCAAAATTACCTCCAGACTTGATGATCTTTCTAGAGATGTCTAACATATAGTCATCATAGGCACGCGATACAGCAGCGTGCCCGAACCTACCACGCCACGGCTGTCGGCAGTGCGGTCCACGCGCCCTCATGACCTAGCCTCCCACCACTCTATTTCCAAGCAGGCTGCGGACAAGGATGAACCTACCTGGGCTTCCGGCGTAGCCATGCCGCCACAGCAGGAAATCGAAGAAAGGAGGAGACAGCGATCGAGGGCAAGATCCGAAAGGTGCCGTCGGAGTTGTGGGCTCATAATCTGTTTCGAGGTTGTTTGAACAACCTGAAACCGCTCATGGACCCGATGAGGTCGTTGGCTCCTGGTTCATACTAACCGAAAAGCGAAATTCGGGCTAGCGAGGGGCTGGCACGAAATTGATACTGAGTCAGACAGTGTTGCAAGGGAGGCTGAGACTTTGTTTAGTCTTCAGTGGCATCGAGCAATGGAGGTTCTGACAACATTGACATTCAGGAGCGAGCGTCGCTTGGTCATCATGAGGGCGCGGATCACGTTCGAATTGATTGATTTTGGGGTTGATTGTCGGGCTCTCCAGTGAGGATGTGAGAGTTGAGGATCCGATCTCCCACGAAGTGCGCAGGGCTGTTCCAGACCAGCATTTGCAGAAGGCTCCGAAGCGTATGAACAGTGATTCTTCAAGGTCAAGGCTTGTGGCTCTTAAGCCTCGAGATTTTCCGACGAGCCACGTGCTGGATGCTGCTCTATCGCCACAGACCAACAGCTCCAAAGTGCGGAACCTCGCGAGGCACTCCACGAATGTGGCAGTAATTCGTCGAAAATGCGCCGTTTGTGACCTCATTTGAAGTTCTTTTCAGATAGGGACAGTGCCGGCCACCAGTAAGTAACGACGTGTGAGTTGAGCGCGGCAGAATAGCGCCCATATGCGAGTATCCACTGATACGACTGGTTGTTCTGGTTTCTAGAACGCCATGCTCTGCGACTGGAAATGCGGTTTGTTCCCGGGCTCGCTTCGCGTGCTGGAGGATTACCCGCGATCGTCGTAGGGTCTTTGCAGTATTTTGATGTCTCGTGGTGTTTTCAAGCCTTCTGATACGCTTACCAAGGGCTAGCCTCAATCAACGGATGAGCGCGATTGGAGCGCCAAGCAATGCTCGTAAGTGGCGGACGATAATCTGGACCGGGGAAGGCCGCATAACGGCATGAATGAAATGCTGCAGGAAGATATATAACATCGCGACAGTAGCAACCGGAAGTGGCTTGCCTTTTCGTGAGCATCCCAGAAGCTTTTGAGATCAGTACCCAAACATGAAGGCCCCGATTGTGGTCCTTTGCTGGAGCTTCGCAGCAACCGTCGTCGCACAAAATCAAACCCAGGCCCAGTGCCTTCAGTCATTCAATGGGACCATTGGAAATGGTACGGTGGGCTCCGAGCAGCAAGTCAGCAGCCTCACTGTGCGCACCGTCAACTCAACCGATGCGAACCAGGGAGTCGCTGTCGACGAGCAGTATTTCTACTCCATTGACAACTATTCAATCACCAAGCACAACAAGACCACAGGAAGGCCACTCCGGCAATGGTATGGAGGACCCGATGGACCGATCATTCACCTTGACGGCGGTGTTGTCATTAACGGAACCCTGTATGCGCCTCACTCAAATTATCCAAATTTCCCGGAGACGTCGTCGGTCGAGGAGTGGAACGTGACAACAATGGAACACATCAGATCGCACTCGTTCGGCATCTATCGCGGGAGCTTGACATGGGTCGATCAGGACAGCACAGGGACGTGGTACGGAACATTCGCCAATGTAAGTCTGTATATTCGAGACGAAAGCGAGCGGCTGCTTTGTCGATCTGCTTGTCTCATCAGCCAACTCCTACCTTTCCCGCAAGCAGCAGTTAAGCTTTCTGTGCTAACACACCGGGTCTGCAGTATGACAGAGTCCAAGCCGGGCAGACACAACCATACGGGTTGAGCATCAACACGCAGCTTGTACGCTTTGCTCCAGGCCCAGAATCTCCCTTTCAGTATGTTTCCCAATCTTGGATCTTTCCTGAAGAGCTGGTATCGGCGAATTTTGCACCAATGTCCAACTCTGGTGGCAGCTTTGCTCCCGATGGTTGGCTGTACATCACTGGCCACGACGCGAGTGCGGCGTACGTCTTGCAAATACCGGCTGCAGGTAGTATCTTGATCTGGGTCGCGACAGTAGATCTGCCGAGTATCGCTGGTCAAGGGATCGCTTGGGACAGGAGTGCTCGCGCGCAGGGAGGTAACGGAACGCTCTACGGGATCAGTCGCGAAAGTAGGCAAGTCGTGGAGATGAGGGTTCCGCTGCAGGGATGCAGGCCTAATACGGATCTACCGGTTGGGATGGTGTTGGCGCCTGAAGACTTTGTTGATACAAGCTCAGATTGAGCTATCAAATAGAAAAGGGATCCTCTCCGCACCTGGATCACGCTATTTAGCGCGCTGCGACCAAAAGGGACTGCAACCTCATGCCGAGGCGATCAAATCTGCTATCAGCACCAAACCATCAGAACCGCTTGTCAATACTCTGCACCAATTCCAGACTTTTCTCTCATTCTGATGCGTCGCAGTCCTCCTTGCCTCTTCGCTTGTCTTTGGCTCTCGGGTGTACTCCTGTCATCCTGTCCGCATGCTACACTATCATCCGCCGTTGAGGACCTGCATCCTTCGAGGCTGCGAAGGATCACACCGTCCCGGAACATGGTTGTTATGCTAATATGACTCTCAGTGATGCACTCCCGACCGCCACTCGACCCTAGCAGTCCTCGTTCCACTGCTTTTTCCGAGCAATACTGGCACTTTTGTCCGAGGTCAGAAAAAGCACTCGACGGTCGGTTTCGCTGCTAGGCTCATCACTTTTCGCACGCTAGGAATGTGTCTTACAAACCATCGGTAGGTCCCTGATGTTCTCCAAACCTACTCAGTCAGATATCTTTGTCGAAGGATCTGGGTCTTTAGACGATGATGAGACCTGAGATGATTGAGGCTGACCTTTTCCGCCGAGTGAGGGGGGTTCGTTGTAACTAATTTTGCCTAGTTTACAAGTCAGATCGACTTATCGAAGCCTTTTAAAGGTACCATTGTCCCTGGTTTAGTTCTGCAAGATTGAATCGGCCGCCTAGGACAGATCAAGTCGTGGAATCACTGCAACAGTATGTGGAAAACCTCGTCCCAATCAGGATTCGCTTGCTGAGGTTCAGCCAATGGAAAGAGATTCATGCATAAGCCGAACACGACTGGGGCACTTGAGTGGCGAAAACTCGCAAAATTGATATCAGGATCCCAATCATATTCAAGAATGAACGAAGCAGGTCGATCAAGTCAGACGATTTCAAACAATCAGCAGCGCTGCAGGCCCGTGCTTAAAGTTTGACGCTTCGAGGAGGTGGAAAGCCCAGTGTGCTTGATACTGGACGTGCGTCTGGGTTTTGGGTATGGTGGTCAGCTACTGAGATCGGCAGTGACTGCTGCCATACCGAATAGTATAGCCAGTATTTTCCACAGCTTTCCTGCTTTCATCCCGGATGATCCATGGCTTCTTCCTTGACCCATTGCTGACATGACCACCCTCGACTTCTTTCCTTGCCCTGGGCAAGAATACCGAGTTGAAGGTCAAGGTAAATGTAACACCCGCTGGCGCAACACCCAAAAGGTGCACCTAGGACCCTGAGCAATCAGAGGGCGAGGATGGCCCTCCTACATCATCTTTACCATTGAAGCACCACTATACTATAAAAGGCGAAGCACATTTCAATGGGTATTGCCTCGTACAGGCGGGCGCACAGGCCGGCGCACAGGCGGGCCGGGGCTCGCGGACCGAGGCTGTGGATGACGCTGCGGATTGAGGCTTACAAGGTTGAGGTTTACAGGTAGAGGTCTATTGAGAAAATACATTAGTCTATTTTAGTGAGCTGTAACACAATCTGGACCTTCGATATCCAATGGCTGTGTGGAAAAATGCTGACAGAAATGCTACCGTCGTATGACCCACTCGTCGCAGAGGTTTGAAAGCACCTACAGCCTGCTGAATCCTGATACCAACGCCGTTGAGTCCCACCACGCGAACGAGGACACCGCCGTTGAGTCCCACCACGCGAACGAGGACATAGGGGCGTTTCAAGAGATCATCCAGCATACGTCGGTGGCCGTGGATGATCAGGATGGTTTCCCTGCGCAGGCAATTATCTGCCCACAACATAAGGTCTATATAAAGAGGCTGCTCTTGTCCTTTTTTGAAAGCCATAGAATCATTCGGTCTGAAGTCCAAGTTTCCACAGATCAACGCCAACCGCCTTTCTTCAATCTATCATCAAATCTAATCCGGCATCAATTCGACTTGAGAAGATTGCCCCTCCCTCGCCAGGTCACTTCAACTTCAGTATACCGCGAAACATGTTATTTGTTACGAACCGACCTTCATGCGGCCTGCCGGGCCTGGCACAGAAGGGAAGGTCAAGCGAGGAAGTCAGCCTCGTTGGCAAGGCTGACTCGGGTCACGTGATACCCCAAAAAGGAAATAAGCCGTTGCATATGTTGCATCGTTGCAGGGCATGGGGCCGCAACGGAGGCAACCATGCAACGCCCAGACTTTCCTAGATAGGAAAACTACCTGTGTATATAGTCACAGCTAGATACACTTCTATAGGAGGTGTAGTCAACTTCAGTTAACATTACGCTTAAGGAGATACAGTATAAGTGCTGTGTCCCGTCTGACGATCCGTTCGACATTGACCTCTACTCTACCCCCGATACTCAAGAACCCTGAGGGTTACCTGTGTGCTCATGTGTCCTTATACACGCTGCGCGGAGGCAATTCTTAATAACTATAAAGATAAAGAGAACTTTTATATATACTAAAGTGTATAGCTAACCACGGTACGGATTAAGCAACTCCCGGAGTAATTAGAATAGATCCTGGAAAGGCGCCGATAAGGAAATAGTATTAACATGATGGTAGAAACACTAGGCACTATGGAAACTATAGTCGATGAGCGAGGCAACAACGAATATATTGCGGAATATTTTGCATACTGCGACACCACCTGCAAGCACTACTACACGGTATATACACACTTATTTAACATTAACCCGGAATACCTACACACAGCCATACCATTATACATATATAATAAGATAATACAACGAAACCTAATGTATGAACGATAAAAATGCACATGGAGACGACATCTACACCTCCATTTCCCTAAGCAAGAACTTAATATGGTCACGGGACTGTTATACAACCCGGATATAGTTAAAGCCGTTGTAGATAAACGATCTACCGCAGACTATATCGCCGAATACTTTACATGTTGCGATTACAGCTGCGAGTATAGAGAAGAAGCGCACCTTCACATCCACAATATTAACCTAGATTACAGCGATATCGCGCTAACACCAGATTAACACAGTTTATTACTAGACTGCGAGAATAGAGATTATTAGTAGGACCTATAGCCCTACCGACACTTACTAAAAAACTTATAGGCACTAACCTGAAGAGGCCAGATCAGTTGCTAAAGTTGCCTCAGATAACCACTGGATTATACCTAATCCTGTTAGATATCCGGAAAGAGCATCTCGTCTTTAAGGCATAGCTCGCTGGAGTCGACATTAGGGTTATAATCGACAGTAGCGCTAATAGTAACTATGCTAGCAGAGAAATTACTAAACAACTAGCCAGGTATCAACGAAAGAAACCACTACCCTATACCCTATTAATGGCTGATGGTAGGACGGCTAGGATGGTATAAGAAGAGCTTCGAAATATAGCCTTTATAATCGGACAATATAAAGAGACGATTACCCTTAACATCACTAAGATCCCAACGTACGATGTCGTGTTAGGTATAATATAGCTTTATAACTACAACCCCTATATCGATTAGCAAAAAAGGAAAATTACATTTTCGTTATATAGTACGAATAAGAAAAAGGGAGATCGATCACCTCTAAAGGCCCCTATCGAAGAAAGAGCGATAATGGTGCGACCGCAGGGAAGAAATACGCTAGCTGGCTCTAGTGTCACGAAGATTCCCCCGGAATACAAAGACTTTAAAGACATCTTTAAAGAGCGCGAAGGATTGGCGGCGCTACCGGAACACAAGCTATAGGATCACGAAATACTAATCCAGGAGGGCAAGGAGCCCCGACACACCGGATAGCTGAAGAGGCTATTCTAAAAGGAAGAGGAATTCCTTAAGGATTACGTAGAGAAACTCGAGGCCAAGGGCTTTATACGTAAATCAACATCACCTATCTCTCATGGAGTGCTTTTCGCACCTAAGAAAGATGGAGGACTACGCCCTTGTATCGACTTCCGACCACTCAACGAGATCACGATCAAAAATAGATACCCACTTCCACGAATCGATGACACACAGGACCGACTCCTTGGAGCCAAGTACTTTACAGCACTCGACATTAGGGACGCCTACTACCGAGTACGGATGAAAAAAGGAGAAGAGTGGAAGACGGCATTCAAAACCAGATGGGGACTCTAGGAGTATCAGGTAATGCCCTTCGGATTAACTAATGCTCCCGCCTCGTTTTAAAGTTTGATCAACGATACGTTGAAGGACTTCTTGGACGACTTCGTGGTAGCGTACCTCGACGACGTCCTAATCTTCTCGAAAACGTATAGGGTTAGGGTTAGGGTTAGGGTTAGGGTTAGGGTTAGGGTTAGGGTTAGGGTTAGGGTTAGGGTTAGGGTTAGGGTTA